TTGCAAAAATAAACAGAAAACCGTGTAATTGAAAGAGAAATTCCATTTACAACCACATCAGGACATAAACTAACAATTTCAAAGTAAAATGCTTCCCGCATCGTAAATTCTGTTTCTCCATTGCAAGTTATAAGTTTACAAATAAGAAATTGTATATTATTCTTACTATAATTCCATGCATTGTGTGCTCCATTTCTACTGTGATGAAAATATTCCAAATGACTGTGGATGCTCTGGATATGGAGAATTTCCATGTGGAGTTAAATGAAAATTCCACACGCCCAAAATACCTACTGAATTTCATACTTTGCCATACATTGTTGCAAAATATTCATTCCTGCAAATTGCTCTGATAAACTCCAAATTGAAATGTTCCCTGAAGTATTGAACGGGAAATTAATGTTCATAAATACGGATTATTGCCCTTTGTGTCACTCGATTGAATTTGAGAAGTGAAATTTGTAGGTGAAAATATAGACGTGCATATGTGGAAACGTCAATTTGATGCACTTTCATTGTTGCTGTGCTGTGAACGAATTTCAGTTCGCCATATCCGAATGGCTGTGGAGAAAATTGATACACCAGAATCACTGTGTTTACAGCATCTCTTATCGACCTGCATTGTCTGAGCCGAAATACTGTCTCCTGTATCGTGAGTGCTTTGTTTCCACCGAGAGAGATTCTCAAGAGAGTTGAGCTCACAAATTTTCCCTCTTGATGTCAAGGCAAGAGGTATTAAATGGTTTTTGTCTACCCCCGGTTTGATACAACACAAAAGGGGATGAAATAACATTTCCCGCCGCTTAAGTGATTCTTCACATAAATAATTAGCAGTTTCAATGTTACTGAATACAGTGTAATTATTATTTAATATTACCATGGTTTACCACTCTCAACGATAAGATAAATTTCCGTTTACATGGCGAATAATTTTCTATTAACCCACAAAACAAGGATCCTCGAGGCTTTCATGGCCTCAGAATCACTCAGTTGAGCAAGAAACGAATATTATGGGTTAAATGAAGAAACCGAAAATCACTTTCTTCAGTCTCTCGGTCTCTTTTTGTGTGTGTGAGATTACGCTATATCGACATAATGAATTTCCGGATGAAACGTGCTCTCAATTTTTCAAAGAAGATTTAAAACATCCACAGAAGATTGAAATTTTTTTTCATTCAAGTTTAATTTGAATTCTGTCTAGAGCAATTTGAATATCTATAGCAAAAACAAGTCTTTCAATTTCCCGTGAAAGAGAACATACGAATAACTGTGCTATGATGAAAATATAGAGGTATTTTTGCATGAATTTGTTTTCTCGTCTGTATATGCTCACTTTCAGTAATTGTATGCATATCGAAGTGGGATCCGGAAGCCAGCAGAATTATTTAGATTTCCACCTACTCTTTCGCCTATTTGACGAGCAGTTTATCCAATGGAATGAGTGGTCTGAAAATCGCCTAAACTTAAGTCGTGAATGCGTCATAAAAACACAAAACAATCCGAAATGTAAAAGCATTAATCGTTTATACCATTTGAAACATTGAAAATCACTACAAATCCATGGATATAAATATTCATATTTCCTTAAATTTTCAATATTGAAGCTTCCGACTGTGGAATATGCAGAAGAACGAAATATTTCGACTATATTTTCATTTTAAAATCTCCACCTAATAAATGCTCCAGTTCTGCATTTTTATTGAGTAAAAATTACACAACGCATTTGGCATAATCAATTAAACATAAAGAAATGTTTTTTTTTCTCTGAAAGTATAAATACGAATTAATGTGTCTATGCATGTACTATCGCACTATAATTTGAAATTAATTGGTTGTACACTTTTCACGGTGAGAAAGAGAATGTCTCTCGATTCAAGTGGAAATTGCGTAAGGCATTATATTGATTTTTTATACAGTCTGAAGCAAGTGTCTCGAACCATTGATGTTTTTTGTGTCTGAATTTTTTGTCATCATCTTCATTCATTAATCCACTTTAATATTTCCGCCGACGACATAATAACGATGAAAATACAAATAAGCCAAAAGAAAGCAACATGTTGCGTGTTTTAGACGCTTTTCTCCATTTAAATATTGTGCAAAAGAAGCTATATACAAGAAAAGTGCCTCAGACACGCAATAGGTCAGCCACAAATTACAAAATTTGTCGGTCTAATCCGACTAATCGTATTGTGAATTCAGTCATTGTGTCATATTATTAATTTCCTTTGAAAACAACATCACTTTTCCCTTATTATTGCACTGTGAATTACAAGGCACTTAATGTGAACAAAACAAACCATAGTGATTTAAGGCGCTTTATTCGCTTCATTAAAGGTCATTAGATATATCAAAAGATCATCAATATAAACAGAAATCTTTGCTGACCAATTTGTGTGGCCCCGGCACGCATTTCAACTCATGCATAGAGGGTCATTTCATTATCCGCTAATTTGTGGTATATTCACCAAAAATGCCACTAATTTGTAAAAGCAGCAAGTGTTAATCTTTCTCGCGAGATATTGAGATGATGACAAGTCTCTTCACAGTTGTGATTTCTCATAGTGATTGCGATGATGAACACGCGAAGGAAGGAGAAATGAAGAAGAAATACAATCTTGCTCCAGAAGACCTTCTCGTGATTTAATCTGTTTCAGAATGAAACGGGATTTTTTGTTGTAGTTACAGAAAAGAATGAACAGAGCGGAAATGCATCTGGAGATTATTCTGGAAAGTGAGGGCGATTCGGGTGAAATATAATGCCACAAAATCATCACTGAACCAATAGATGAACCGTAAAAAATTCGATTGAGCTGAGAAAGCTCATAATCTTAGACATCAGACCGTCTTTGTCTTGGGGAATAACATGAGATATCATGGATTCGTTGCCAATGTTATTATATGTTCGGCCAAAAAAAAGTCTTCCGAATATATATGGTCTTGTGATAATCTCATATTTCGGACGATTTTCTGTGAAATCTTCGCACAGACACGGAAAACATATGATCTGAGATTTATTAAAGAGTCTCTTCTGAAGCCCTTCCATTTGTGGGGTTTTCTCTGCTCATATACGGATGCGTAAATGTAGGTAAAATCCGGAAGTGGCATGTAGGTAGCAGCACAAAAGAGAGGAACTCCACGAGCAATTTATACATGCAGAAGATTACCAAATTGTCTGTGCGGACCACCATCGCCATTAAAATCCAACTGCGAGTGTTCGCTTGAGCGTTCTTATCTCCCGCAGCTTAATTAACAGCGATGTGACCATGTGATTTAATTGAGAACAATCAGAGTCAATAAATAGCCATTCCGTGCTTGTGTGCGCGACGTTACACTTTATCACATCGCCATCCCTCGTCATAGCGTCTGCTGAGGAATAATTACGCGCAAGGTCACATTCCATTAATGATGTGAATATTTTCATGCGCCATAAAATAACGCGGGAGTTGATGGGGTTTATATAGGAAAATCAATGGTAGAAATTAGTGCAAATTTGTGCTAGTGAAAATCGGTCGTTTTTTTCTGCATTCATTACACTCACTTATCAGTTCGCTGCCTTTTTATCGCTTTTTTTTATCAGACATTCCCATATCTGTGGAACTTCCACTGTGTGTCGCGCATTCGCGCGCGGTGTTTAAGGTGATACAGAACGGCAATTGAGCGCTTCTGAATGGGAACAGTTGTTGGGCTGCTGTGGAGCCACGTATAAAGTCTCTTCTTGAAATGCCGCTTTTTATTTGCACTGAAACACGAAATTTGCATATCTCTAATCCCACACACTCTTTCACTATTTTGTCACATGTATAAATTTTTATGACCACCAAAAGCAATACCATGACGAGATATTCTGCACACTAATTGTCTCTGTTGTCACTCTACAAACTTCCTCCCTTCGGATTACCATTTAGCACATATTTCCAATGAAAAAAAAAATACCCATTTCGAGATTGAATGCTGATTTTCACTCCAGAATGTGTGGCGAAAGGGAGAGAATTTCAATAAAAAGTCCACCACATAGAATTGTATTTGCGAACTCTGAACTACAATCAGAAATACTTACATTTTTATTGTGTTTTAATACAGCATTCATTCACAAAGGTCAATGTTATTCGGCCGTCTTTACTTTCGTTTACACGTAATTTTGATTGTTTATTCATGACGAACGCACCTTTTTTCTTTTGTCTCATAAACCCTTCGCTTTACGCATGAATAATTTTGCACTGTTTTATCTTTTTGTCTACAGATTCAGTCATTAGACTAATAAAATCCCCAACACCTTTTTTTACAAACTCATATATAAACATATTGCAGTGGTTTTAGAGTGACTCGGTTTGTTTGATTTTATGATTTTCTCCTTGGATCGATATCATAAGCAAGTGTTCTTGTAAATGAAATAAAAAAAAACACACTCTAATTATGCATTTGACACACTTAACCTCTCGTGGCTCAATCAATTTTCCATGCTTATCTTATCAGATTACTCATTAAATATATTTGAGCGAATCCTGCAAACGCCGGAGTGGCAATACAAGCTGTGAATACAACAGCCAGATGCATCTGATCTGGCGGTATTGTGTTACGTATCTAATTCGCATTGTAATGGGATCGAGTGTATCCGTGTGAATTAACGGCGAGGTGTACGAACTTGTTTAGAGAAAAAAGATCTCTTCAGAAGCCACACAAATATACGAATTCAATATATGTGGTCTATTGTGAAATGTAAGTGAAATGGTTGTCAAATGGATTTTCTTCACCTTTTCACCTTGCTTTTCACCGTCTTCCGTCGTCTCATTGGCTGAAAGATGATTCTTGCACGACGAACGTGATGATAGCGACTATAATGCGATGTTGTGGCATTGAAGAGAGTTACGATAACGTGGCCAATAGACTTCCTCAGTGTCACTGTGGTGAGAGAGACAAATTCACGGGCTGTGCGAGTCAAGAGGAGGGGGCCCAACTCTACAATGGAGCCTATGCCTCAGTTCACAAGTCGCGCTCAGTTGAAAGTGGGAATTTGGCGAGATCAGTGTACTGCCGGTGAAAAGAGTTTCATTCCCGACCACGCACCGAATTACTGTGAAACACGCTTGTGGCGACTTATTCACCTGATTTAATGGTGAATAGGACTTAATTAAGAGCTCGAAAGTCAACAAACCACGTCCGTATGGCAATTTCTATGGCATTTTAAGTGGAACATCGAGTGATTAAAACCACCCTAAAATTTCTCATTATATTCTCGGTGCTGCCAATTTTGTGAAAGTCTTGGAAAATTATTCAAATTGCACTGTGTGACGACGAAGGTGGAAAATAATTGTGTATAGTGGACATCTTTTCGCAACGCTCCTCTCAAGATTGGATTGTTTGTCAAGTGTTGCAAAGTGAGAGAGTTAAAAAAAAATTCTATGCGATTTATATTTTCTGTCACTGTGCAAAATTGTGTGTTGGTGTTCTGTTGAGAAATGCCATGTGAGATTATTCAACAAGTGTTGTCATTGTTGAATAAACTTCTTTCTTTGCATTTTGAGACTCTTAAGCAAAATTTTTCGCGAGAATTTCGCACATTATCCGAACTAGCGGAAAGACATCATATATTATGGACATTCTATTGCTAAAAAAAACATACAATGTTGCATTTCTTGAGAGTGACAATCTTATAAGACGTGCCTTGAGATACTAAAAACCCCAATTTGTTTCTTACAATTCACTTCTTTGCTTCACTTGAATAAAATTACGCTGCTTCCGGTAATTTTTTACGATTCTTTTTACTACAAATCAATCCCTCGCCCCCAAAACAATAACAATTCATTGAATTGAGAATAATTCAGGCTGAAAATTGTCTCCTCATTTCGACGAATTTCTTGCCTCATCAGACGAAGAGACTTCCATTAAGATCCACATGATAAATCATATTATAATCAAAATGAGCCTTATTACATTACAGACTCCCCACTTGAGTCGTATTTTCGGTAAATAAAATTGCCTCCGTTCTGTAAATGAATGTAAACTGTGCGCAATGTATGACAAATTCTCGGTGGTTTTATTATAGTTTGAGATACAGAAAAGTCTTCCACACATTCTCGTGTTATCTGAAAGATAACGTCTTGCCGAGCGTGGCTTTAGTATTTGATCATGGTTAATCGATAAAGATTTGATTGACACGTAATACTCTTTTCCGTGGCCAATTAATCAGTCTCTGCTCCAAGTAGTGAAACATTCTAAATTGTGTGCAAAGAATTATGTCTAATAATGTCAATGATTTTGAAAATATTTGATGTGAAGACACAATCTACAAATATGCAAAAATACATCTTCTATAGTTTGTTCTGTAGTTGAAGAAATTTAGTATTTGTCATCACAACAGCTTCTGTGTACGGCTTAAAACGTCTCAAGAGAGAAATTCGCCGTCTGGAGTGTATTCAATCGGGAGTCGCGTAGGTGTTCTAAGAGAACAAAATTTACATTGATTCCCCACGGAGTTTTACTGCAAGTGATTTGCCTCCAAATCCCCCTGTCTGTATCCCTTTCCCACCCCATTTCATGTGCGCCGTATAAGTAAATTTTCTGTCAATATGAGCACCACATCCAGAAAATCTCGACTATTTGTCTTTTCCATGTGTGTGGAGTCAGTTAGGAAATGAGGGCTGTGCGACACAGACGGGATAGATTATAAATTGACGTCACATCAAATATTGAGATAAAATTTCATAGCGCACCATTTAAATATCACCGGAGATAAATCATGAATTTGAATGTGAGTTATGTGGTCGAAAATGGAATTGAAGAAACATTTTTCCCCGCTATGATCACACAGGCGGAAATTTATTCTCACATTTTTCACTGCGTGACCATTTATCTTTCGACCCGCCGCCCCTCGTGCTCCGACACTTTAATTGAGGACGATGGATGGGACCTGGGGATGAACAACTTATAGTACGTGCCGCTGAGGTGGTGGCAAAATTGTATTCTTTGCCGATGCGTTCGCCTGAGCTCAAGTGTTGGGTCGTGATTTCATACGAATTCATCTTTCTCCTCTGTCTTGTCACCAAATGAGAAATTGCCTGGGGGTTTGAGAGGGGTATCACTCGTGTCACGTCTTATGGATGAGACTCACCTTTTCTTCCGCCTCCACCTCATTATTGACGAGCTACCATGAAAAATACTCCACATTTATTTTTAATCTCCCAAAGTGAATCTAAATAGAGTGGCAGGACGTAAGTGAGACATTCCTGTGGAAGCATGAGGACATTGAGTGTGTTGTGTGATTTGTGAGGCTCCTTCAGATTATGTAGGAGACTTTACTGGCAGAAATGTGGCCCAAGAGAGGCCTCTACAGAGTTGCAAGAAGTCACCGACAGCTTGAGGTTCGTATACACACACTCCCCAACAATTATCAATATTGATTCTTGATAAGGAGGAAAACAAACGAGCGCCAGTGACAGAGATGATGATGAGTCATGTGTGTAAAGTTGCTGAATGAGCAGCAAACTCTGATAGATTTTGAAGATTTTTCAGAGAACTGTTTTTTTCTAAACTATATACGTGCGATATTTACACAGTTTTGCATTTTTTTGTGCAAAAGTTGTGATGATGATAAAATTCTCATACTCTTCCATCATTCCGTGACTCTATTCCAAAGTTGTTTCAAGGGATGAAATATAGAGTATCGAAGGGATTATAAATTTTCTTACAGATTGCGGTGGATGAAATAAAATAGATTTATGGTTATCCTGTATATGGCAGACAATAATATTTCCATATACACCATGCATAATTTCTCCAGTCGCAATATACATGGAGTGGAATTATTTAGAGCAAGGATGAGCCGAGATGGAAAATGGTTTGAGAATGTATCATACTTAATACATCAATGAATTTAAATTTTTATCGCTCCCCATCGCGGAAAGAGCAATTTATTTTGCCAATTTCATGCATTCGTGTAATATTTCAAAATTTGGAAATAAATTATACATATAGAGAAAATTGCCGGAGTTACATAAATTTCAGAAGCTAATCAACCAAGTCAGTGGATCAATAAACAAATGTTGAAAAATGTGAAAGAGAAGTTGAAGCTTATTTGCCAAAGTGAGTGAAAGTTGACGAAATTGAAGGCATTTTTTCCTCATCTACTTGATAGATAGATTCAACAATTTCTTCACTGGAATTTTAGCCATACAAAATGTGTATGAACGCTAAAGCTTTTGTCAACAAATAAGATTAGACTTGTCTTATTGCTCTGTGTGACGAACAAGTGGGGGATTGGACCATCTGAGAATGTTTCCAGCAAAGCTCCTTATTAGTGCTTAACCCTCATTGAGGAGATCCTTCAAAATCCATTTAAAGGCAGTAATATTTAAATGAAATTGAGGAAAATGCTCATTAGTGTTAAAGAAGTTGACTCCCAGTGTAATCAGACTTTTGCCAATTATTTTCGCTTGCGTGGGATTCATCGTGCGCGTGCCTTTATTTGAGTCCCAGAAGAAATTTGTGAGCTGCGAATAAAACGGCGGCTGTTCGACATGATTTCTTAAGCTTCATACCAGAGTTTTTCAGTTGATGGTTTAGTCACATTGTTCTTTTGAATCCTGCATTTCATTTGGAATGTAAAACTATTTTTCTTGCACTGTGAATTCGCTGCATTCTGACCTTTCAGCTTGTTTAGTGTGACCGTAAATAAAATTCGACACAGAGACTTTGACCCATATCCGATTACATTATGTACAGACAAGTGTGTACTTTGAGTATGTAGTTATCAGTCACAGTGAATTCGGGCCAAATAGTCAATTATTTGGGAAACACAGCCATCCTTAGCATAGCAATTTGGTGTATTATTCGGCAAAATTTCTGCAGAAATTTGAGAACTTCATCTGCCATTTTCACTCACAGCTCAAGACATTTTCGAGATGTCTTAATCGTCTCGTTTAGTATGATATTTAAAGCCATATTATTACAACTGTTTGCAACTAAACTACTTAAGCTTCAGTGTGAGCTCTCATCGCAAGTTTCCACTGGGCAATCTGAAAAGATTCAACCTTGACATAAATTCTCGCAAAATGACATGCGTAAATATATTGTCTAAAGTCTGGGACTTAAAATGAAATGAAAGTTTTACAGATGCCTCGTAGTTTTTCCAGACAGAATACTATGTACATAGGATGCAACAATTGTTTGCCCGATTTAGGGATCTCCTTCAAATGTATGTTTGCCATATCTGATTTGTTTGAACACGTCTTCTCTTGCAAATACTTGGCAGAGTCACCGAGAAAGACCTCTGAAAAATATGTATGTGCCCATAAAAGAGGGGGAAAAAAGTTGTTGATGGAAGGCACAGCAAACAAAGGAGTATCTGGAAATAATCCTGACTCCCTTTGACTTTAAATTATATCGTTCACGTCATGCCGCCAGATGGTGCCATTCCCTCATCCCGCCAAAGTGCCCCCAAAGAGTCTCTGGGGAGCAATTCATCTCGTCTCCAAGAAGGGTCTTCTGCGGCACTTCACCCCCACTTTTGTGTATTATCATTGATAGAAGTTATGCCACAGTGTGGGGCGTTTCTCTGCCAACCACCAAATCGATCCGCCGAGTGAAATGTTGAAAAATATGCGGGACGAATGGTGTCCTAATTAAATGCTAACTTCATACAGTGTATAGAGTCTGCACTTTGGGCTCTATTATCTCATAAGTCCAATTTTCAGACCTAATCTCCCGAAGCTAATGGCAATTTATCTTAATAGAGCGGAAAGATAATCCAATTCTACCTCATCCATCAGGGCTCACGATCGGACTTTTCAATCAATTTCCTTTACGGCTCCTGTTTTTGACTTGTCGTCACTAACTTATCGAGAGTGTGGCTTAATATTAAGTTTACTTGAGTAAGTTGGGGAAGTGTTTTAATTGTGCTTTCAATGGTCTTCCTCACTGACTTGCATAATTTAATGCAGGCTATAAATAAAATTATGGTTCTAAGTTTACACTTTGAAGACCTTCGAAACTGGGTCATATTTATCTGCTGCACACTATATTATCAGCCCTCAGAAATTTGTTTTACTCAACGATACTTTCACATGTTTTCACATTTAATGATTGTTTAATAACCAAAAGTAAGTGTTGATGCATCACAACTCTGCTTTTGATAGCATATTTTTGTTAATACTCAGAATTTTAGTCTAAACTAAAAATACTTCTCTACTTATAAACATAATGCAAATTCAAAACAATTGAACAAGAACATGCAATGATACAAGACAACACGAAATAACGAATAACAACCTCGTGTTATCTGGTTTACAACAAACAATACGGGTTTTCCGTGAATACTGAGCATATTCACCAGGTATCTTCTCTTGGAACTTCTTCTTCACCAGAAGAGCGAGATGTGAAATATGCAGAAGCAAGTCAAATATGTAATTATCATAAAGGTCAGAAGAAATATCACTGCATGAAAATAAAAAAGAGTAAATAAAAAAATCCTTTAAATGATGTCGTACGAAACTTTTTCAACCACATTAGTCCACATCGTAATAATTTCACTTGGGTTTCTCTACTATTACAAAATTTGAAATTTCACAAACAGTTCTTGTGGCAAATAACGTGACTTTATACTTTGTATATGTGTATATAAACATAGAAATGTACCGAAAAAAAAATTACAAATAGCATTTTTACCCGACCAGAGCATTTGTGAAAAATGAAAAAAGCGAAGGCGTTTTATAATTTCTCACATGAGAGTCTGTTCCCTTTCTCTTCCAGTTGCCGGTGACTTTGTGCAATCTTGGTGTGGGTGCAACATTTGGCGAATCAGTTCTGCACGACCTGCCTCGAGACAGCACCGTCGTTACAAAGACTACGTGTGAGCTCCTGCGTGTCGAGCAGCAGGATTTTCGCCTCATCTGGGAGGTGAGTTGTGTGACCGAACCTGGAAAAATGGCAATTCTCATCCACTTGGTGGTTGTCAGCAGAAAATTTCACTGACGCCCCGAAAGTTGCTTCTCAAACAGAAGTGTAGAACACTCAACGGTGAGCCAGTGCGGTTGACTTTCTGTCCACTGTCACCAAAGAGACACACAATTCACTTTCCGCCGATGTGGATCACATCTCTCGACTGGCCATAAAATGTGGGTTCCACTTGAGGAGTTGTGAATAACTATGGGGGCGGAAGAGTGATCCTGATATGTAGAATGGGCCGAATTAACCCTGACGAAGGAGTCAAGGGATGCTCCTATGAGGCATTGAATGTCGGAAATTAAATGAGCATCCCCAATAATGTGCAACCTGTTGAATAATTGAATGAGAAGCTCTCTCTGGTAGACAAATTAACGAAGCATACAAACAATTTTGCTGAAAGTCAGAAATTATATTCTGACCCGAAGGGCATTATATCAAGCGCCGTATCGCATGCAGCGTAATTGATTTAATTTCATATTTTTTTGCCCGTGACAATGGTAAAACAAATTACGCAATCCATTGATTGGGAATTTTATGTAATTCTCTCCTGTCACCCGTTTTGCCTTCAAACTCAAAGCATCAATTGGACATGCGGCGTAATTGATTTTTATTTCTCTCCGTCTGTTTTTACACCTCTTTTTCCTCCTAATGCACGAAAAACAATTGTGGCCACACCACCTTTCACCATTCGACAGCTATCAAGCTGGTGAGTCGATTAAAAAAATAATCGAAAATATTGTGCAGTGAATTTTTTTGTGTGGTCGTTGAGCTTTGAAAACAAAATAATAATAAAACACCTCTTTGAATTGATTGAAATTGAAAAGAATATCACATTATGGTGTTGAATTGCAATGGGAATGGCGGAAAGAACAGGTGAATGACGCCAGAATGAAAGGGTATAATTATGACGCTTTTAATTTAATTACTCTTGGCTGAAGTAATTTGATTGGCTGCCATTTTCAAAACGGTCGCTTAACTCCTCTTCTTGGAACGCGCAATCCCGCGAAAAAGCTCTCCATTCTGAGCGTGTTGAGATTGAATTTCAGATACACGCAATTTATTTCTCTTGAGTTGACTGACTTCACCCTACATGAATTACATTTCGGCACGACAAGTACCCTTTATTCGCCTTGCAGTACACATGAATGGGTGAACCAGACGAAGATGGGGTGAATTATAGAGAGAAATCCCTCGAGCAAAAAATTTTACATTGAGCAGGAGCTGTCAAAAGTTTTTGAAGAGACAAAGGCGCAATTTTATAACACACACACAATTTGCAGAAATTCTTCTATTTATTCTACATGATGATGTACATGTTTGAGCAATTTCTTGCAATTGAACCAATTTGGATTGCCTAAGGTCATTGACTCAAAGCATTAATCAATTATGCATATGCTTTTCAACACGTTAAATTTAAAATATATATTCTTGCGCCGGTGTTAACAAAAATGCCTTTATTGATTAAATTTGATGCTAATTCAATCATGAATAATGTTGCTTACATTAAATATCTAATTTTATAACATATTTTATGGGGCGCAAAATCTTTTTTCATAATTCTCACATGTTATGTACAGTGTAAAGCCACCTATACTATGTACGAGGATGCGCGTGTGTGAATAAAAAATGAAGCAAGAAAGCTTCATCTTGTATGTAAATTGGGGTAAATCAAGCAAATATTTAGTGTTGTGGAAGAAAATGGAGAGGAATAGGTGGTGTGGAAAACGCTGCTTATTGAAATAAAAATTTTCCACTATGCTAGAATTTGATGTGATTATCTTCCACATTAGCGAGCTCATTTGCCACGGCATTCAAACATAGCAGAAGAGAGCCTGGGATGGCGAACGGGGGTTAATATAGCTATGTAGATATGCTGGTGCTATATATATGTGCATGTATAGGCGATAAAAACATCCAGCTTCTCTCATGGCGAGAACGAAAGAAGGTTCCTCTCAATGTGGGGTGGAAGTGGAATTGTTCCCACTCCAGCTTTGAAGGTAAACTTCATTACATGGGATCTGTCTTATCTAACTCTGTTCCGACAATTTGAGGGGCGAAGCAGACTGATTAGCAGCAGCATTAAAATCTCAGTGAAAAGGGCTTGTGAAATTTATTGTTCTTACAATTGTTATCCCTGCGGATCTTCCTACTATTATCTCTGTACGTCCATAAAAGTATAGCTAAATTTTATAATGAAAGGTTTATCATGTGTTGCTGTCGGTGTTCCCTTTTGTTACCAGAAATTTGCTCATCTTCTTACATTCTCATGGAACAATCGCAATGTTCATCTCTTTTCAATTTTTTCAGTGTTTGGCCATGTGTTTTGAATAATATCATACATTTTCCGGGAAACGCACAACATTTTCATCCAAAACGTAATAATATTGGACACGCGGTTAAATTTCATTATGCGACAACATTTGAGTCTAAGTGAGTCATCAGCAGAGCAAATTTCACTCATATTTACCCACGTAACTACTCCATTATTCCGTCCATAATCAACTAACGCTTCGCATTATCAGCGAAATTAATTCAATGCAGCTGCCCGGCATAAAGCCCTTTGCATATCATCCGCAAATGACTAAAATACACCCCATGGTATTATGCTAACCAAAATGTTTTGAAATCCTTTATCATCTTAGCTCAAAGCTCACGATATTCTCTCATTTTTTTTTTAACATAATACAAATTGCAAAGTGTTAATAACACAAAAGTTTAATGAAATTTTAAAGTTTTGTGGTTTCTTGAGCAAATTTTAATTCGTTATTCATACAGAATCTTCATTAGTGTGCTTAGCTTTGGCCACACAATTTAAATAAATAAATGTGAAGATGGTAGAAGTCTTGGAGACTGGAAATAATTTTGGGGAAATCATAAGGAAAAGTTTGGGCTAATATCCCACATGAGAATTAGTACTTTTCCTAATTGCTATGTGAACACTTGTTTGCTCTCAAAGAGACTCTGTGAATGTTGTGTCATTTGAAAAGCGTAGGTCACCAGAGAGAAAAGACGAGAAGATAATGCAATTGAAGTTTAGTCGTTCCGTTTGTGAGAGTGAAGATGACTTTCGCAGAGTGCTAATTTCTTCCTCGTGGAAATTACAAGACGCGCCTTGACTCTTGGTCCGGAAATATTGCTGCAACTGTTTCACCATTTCAGTTAAGAAAGTTAGAAAAGGTCTTTGATGTACTCTATATTCTATGGAAGATTCAGTGAATTATAATGTGATGCTTTTGTGGAACGCCATTAAATCCCTCAAATGGAAAATTCTTGTTAATATGGTTTCTTGCCTTGTGAGCATAATCCCTGCTGAACAACTGGTGGAACATTGCAATTTCGCAGAAACTTTAATTCAGTTTTCATTCCTTTGGCATGGAATTAGTATTGTTAATTTGGTTCTCTTCTCTCTCTCTCTCTTTCATGGTTTCGTGCAGAAAAACAAGGAGCTGATGACAGACATCATTACAAATTGCAAATTGAAAAATGGTAAGTCCTTGCAACGAGGCTCCTGCTGGTGAACAACGAGCGATTTAAAAAACGAATTTTCATGATACATACACGAAAAATGCAGTTTTGTATCCAATTTCCATAATCCATTTGTAATATCAGTGCGAAAGCGAAACCCAAATATAAGCCAGTGCTGTGGGAATTTTCCATAGAAGTGATATTTAATAGGGAGTGGCGTGAAAAATGCTTGCTAAAAGTTCAGTAGATTGTAAAATTTACATTCGCTCCTCTTCCATGTATCCCATAAATCTCTCACAATTTGCAGATTGCAATGTTTGCATATCTTGCAGATTTTCCATGTGACTTTCCCACACATATGAACACACAGGAGACGATAATAAATAATTCCGAATTGCTCTACGCGCAAAATTAATTTCATATGCATTTTTTCAGGTGTTTCTCCCGTTGTTCCCGCCGTTCAGACCAAACGACCACTCAGTCCTGACCATCCTAATCCTGCCTTGCCCATCACTGAGGTGAGTTGATATCTTGCAAATGATCAGTGTTTGTTTTATTCACACGATGCGATGAAATTGTCCGAAACATTTTCAACGCGTAGTAAAATGTACACAACCACAGCATGAATATTATCGCGTTTTTTTCATTTTGTCGATTGGTTCGGTCAATTCTGGGCACATGTTGTGTATTTCATTACATGATTTCTCTGATTTTATGGAATTCGATTCGTTCAATTAACGCGTTTTCTGTGTATTTATGAAATATAAATTTCACTATGTATATTTGAGATATGATAAAATTCATTACATGGCCTTTAAACTTGTATGAAAATTCAATAATGTCAGTTTCTGATAATTCTCTATTTCACTTTGAAAAGCTTATTAAGCGATTTCCTTGCTAAAACACACTGGCCAATTTTCATGTGTGTGTGTTGAATCTAAATTAATTTCCCTCTAACAATTTTTGATATAGATTATATTCCAAGATAATTGAGTATCGAGCGATACAAAACAATTGTCGTCAATTTATTGAAGGAAAACTGTTTCATGCTAATCTGATAAGTAAATGCTGACATGCAGTGTTATTCTTGCTAAACGATAACTCTCTGCGTCAGAACATAATATAAAAGCTTCTGTGCTGCAAAATCTCAATTAAAATTTTCAATACAATGTTCTTCGTCAGAGTTATGCTTGCGGAGCAAGTTGCTCAGCACAATCGTCAACTGTTCGCAAATGGATGAGAGTGAGAGTTGAAAAGTCACAGAATGTGTGAATAAATCAATTGAACCCTTTTCAATTTAATTTCAATTTACGGAAATAATATCCATCTAAACGTGTTCGCATGCAGAGTTTGTGTTATCGATTCAAATTGTTGATTTCTTATGCCACCGCTGTCCTTGTGGAGCGAACCCACTGATGAAATTTTAAAGTTTTCCGAGGGTTGAGACTTTTCCTGGGTCTTCTCGGTCTTCTTGTATTTCCTCTGACTCTTTTCATATTCCCACGCAGTGACAAAAAAATGAGAATTTATGCAGGAAATTTAAAAATATTCAGATTCCTCTGGAAGCGAATATAATTGCGTTATCCCAACATCTTAAAGGGGCTGTACTTTTTCTTTAGTGCACTAATTGCTAAGTCAGCAAATGGTTGGCAGTGGCATTTGAAGAACTCCATTGAGCGACTGAACATTTCACGAATATTTCTGCATTCCAGGCATTTGATATCCTCTCTTTTCCCCTCTTTGCAGTCACCCAGTCCAGCAATGTTCCGAATGGGATGGGCTCTTCGCACACTGCTGGTGTCCGACACATCCAGTTGCTTAAAAGACCGAAAGGTACAGTGCGAGATAAAGCTCTAAAAGTTCTGAGAAATTTCAAGACAATTCCTTGTGACATAACTGTCGGATTATGATGCTGAGAGTGTGTGAAATAATGAAAAATTTCATCTTGAAATTTCCTCCGAAGCCATACTTCAACTCCATTCTGCCATGCTTGTGTACATAATTTTCAAACATATTTGTAGGTGTCTGGAAAATTAGTTAGAAAATGCGCTCCAGGTACAGAGCTTGTGGAGTGGCTAATAAATCTCTCGCCCATTGTTCACACGCGCGTTCAAGCTGCTGGAATGTGGCAAGCACTGCTCGAGGAAGGTGTCCTGGCACACGGTGAGTGATTGCAATATTTGCCACGTCTTCTTTCCCGACTAATAAACACTCAGACTGAGTGTATACTGTAAAATAAGAGCCCCGGAGAAAACGCACAATTCAACACACTTCCACACTTTTCCTTTCAACCATACAGTGAATAAGGAGCAACCGTTCAAGGATAAGTGCTTCCTCTATCGATTTCGTGTGGACGAGGATGGCACAAGTGGCGGCCCACCAACTACAGACGATATCAATTCAGCAAATGATCACATAAGGGAAGCACTCAGTGGTTTACTGCACAGAGGACCAGATGCCACATTACGCATGATACTGCGGAAGCCGTAAGCACTTTTTAATTACATTCGATGCGGCAATGAGTATATTTTCTATACACATTTTTAATCATTTCGGAGTGATTAACTCTTTCTCGTCATGTGAAATTGCTATTTCGGACTGCTTCCAAAATTGTCCATGAAATCTAAAAATATCCTCTTATACATAAAACACTGGGGAAAATGCAGTTTAATTAATTGGAAAGAAATTCAATAGCCAATTCTCATGATAAATTTTTGAAATTAATGATTTTAAAGTCACATTTTGCCAAGCATTTTGCACGCTTTAAGTGTTAAATTTTCCGTTGATGCTTAAATGTGCAATGAGCAATTAATTAGCGTAATTAAATAATCTGTCTACCGGCGAAGTTGAAGAACTTTTATTGAATTCACTTGCCGGGAAATTGTTTAACTCTCTTTCCCCAGAAATTATATCCAGTGAAGCGTCCAATATTACATTGTTGACTTTTAATTAATGCATTAATCTCTCTGACGACAAAATGCCTTTATCGTCTTTGCATGGAAATGACATATCAAGGAATTTATGCTTATGACAGAAGAGTCTCTATCCATCTAAGCTAAAGACATTATTTCACCTGTATTGAAGCAATAAGGCAATAATAATAAAACGTTGTGATGAACGTTTGTTCACATTATACAAGTTTCCCAAGATTTTGAATTACGTCCCGTAATTATTTGCCATGAAAGCTAGTCGATACGCTCTTCCAGTGCACGAAATTGAATTGAAACGAAGTGAATTTTTTATCATCCTAATCTACCTTTCCGGGATTCCGTCGTTTAATTCAGTTATCGAAGTGAGGGTGGATTCTCGAAGTAAACACTAGAGGCTATAGTGGGGCAAATGGAAAGGAATCCTGACAAAAAAAAACTGGGTTTGCTCTTTTTGCTCTCTCTCTCTCCCAAAATCCACCATCGCCATCGACCGCAAATGTGGGAGAGGAAGTAAGATGAGGAAAAGTCCGTGTATTTGCTTTATTTATAAAACGTAAATTTTGCTTGTGGCAATAAGTGGGGGAAAATATAGCATTGTGGACTAGTATATCACTGATATTTTTGCACAATTGTAAAATTTTTCTTCGCCCTTTGAAATTGCTCTTTTCATTCCATCGCTTGCTGTGTTTTTTTCCTTGATACGCTGGCGTGAAAATGAGAATTCTGAAATTTCAATCATAAATTTAATTTATTCAATCTCAATTCGTAATGCAAAACTTTGTTCTATTACACTTTGCCATTGTCGCTGGTGTTTTTTTTATCTCCTCTCTGGATAACATTATTCCGTTGTTTTTATTTTCGATAAAAATCTGCGAACTTTTTCATAAAAGTGCACAGAATGAATTTATTATGAGATTCTATCTTCTTAGAGAAAAAGGAGTGTTGAATCTTAACTTTATTGGACAAAAATACCAACTCTTAAAGTTGTTACGCAAATATTGAATTTCTTTACAAAGAATTTTTTAATTAATTCCCCTTTATAAATTCCACCCACACGCATTTATAATGAAAATTGATTAAAAAATTCAGTGTTAATTTTTCACTGGGAAGCGTGTTGGCAAAAAATGAAAATTTCGCACTTGTCTCCACGATGGTGGAGATATATTTAAACTTTATGCAAATTCTGATAGAATTCAAAAGTACCCCCAACCACTTCTGAGAAGGACGAAGATCGAAGGTGTTGAGGAGAGCAAAGTGAGAAAGAAGAGTAATGGCGATGAAGGCGAAACTTTAAAATACTTTTGGGTGTTGTGGAAAAAACAACAAATTATTTATCTCAAATTATATTTATGTAGGTAGAATACAGTAGGATGAATACTACGAGCTTTATTCACCCAAGAGAACAATTTCTGTATTATTTCCTTCCTTGCTAACTTCCTCTCTGTGTAAACGAGAATATTGGTAAAGGATACAACAATGGGGGAAATGATATACAAATAATAAATAATGTGGCATGAAAGGTAATAGAAAAAGTTCAGATTCAGCATCTTTTCTTCGCCATTATCCTCTTATATTTTTTGTGATTTGCACAGCAAAAATCTAAGCCATTCGCCTGTTTTCTCATAAGCAGCAATTCTACCATCAAGGTGTGTAGGTTTCCTCTAATGGGAATGCTTTTCCGAAGGGGAGGAGAAACAATACACACACACACATGAGGGAATGTTGCGAAAATACCCTTTTCTGGCTCTTATCCTATTTTATTGATTTCCTTCATGACACCATATGAAGCTCATTAATTAATTTTTCTGCTCGACAGCTCGCATGAACGCACTCAGGAGGAATTGGAGCTGGTCTTCGAGGAACTCCTCCACATTGCCGCCCTATCGCATCTCTCAACATCCATTAAACGAGAGCTCGCATCGATAATCGTTTTTGAATCTCATCCGGCAGCTGGAACTGTCTGTAAGTAATAAGTAGTAATGCAGCTTTAATGATACTGGGTCGATTTTTGCTCCTTAGAGAGGCGAAACTTATTAAGAGATATCCTTGATATCCAACAGTTACTAATTGGCACACTGCATAGTTTGGTATTTTGACTAAGCTCAGGAATATTCATGCGCTTCTCATTGCGGTTAGGAATCCATATCAGAAACCACAAGTGAATTATCGATTCGGTTACAGAAATACACGTTGGTTCATTGTCTTAGGTCTGAAGTTAATTTTGAATGTGAATAATACAGAAATAATAGCGTATGAGAATATTTATGAATTTTTCCACCATATTTCCTAATGTCTGGGGGAGAGACAGCTATATATAGAAATGTTTAGATAAATGCTAAGGATGATGATGATGATGATGATGATAGGGTTTCGCCAATATTTCATCTCAACCCGCAACCCGAATTCCAGACATCATATCGATGCCTAAGAAATGGTAAGGGTATTTTTTGTATCCACCAAGGGTGATGCTTTCATCAGCTCATGGTGGCGATAAGAAGGGGGAGAGGAGGGTGTAAAAATTACTTGACGCCTTCTCTAGCACAACATATTTCATTTTGATATGGAATGTATGCGATGTGGAATGTGAAATGGATGTATAAAATTCCCAAATGAAAATGAATTTCAGGGGAATCCGACAAAGCGAGAAAAAAGATATTTCCTACCATTTCTCTCGTATTACCTCCATATATATATGTACACTCGAATTCTACATTAGGTAGAAATTTGTTACACATGAGTGAGTAGAAAAGCGCGTAGCATTTTTGGAAAATATAAATTGTAATTGGAACTTTAAATTCGGGGATGTTTTTCTAAATAAGCAATAAACTGTAAATAGAAATTTTGTCCCGTGATTTTCCTTTAAAGTATTGACGTTTTTTCAAGCATTTTGTCAAAAACAGACTCGTTTTTCCTTTGGCAACATCTGCACAAAGAGGTTTACATTCAGCAAGAGATTTTATGAATACAACGGCAGATATCAAAGAGACATCATCTTCTGTACAATCTTTTTAATACATTTCGCAAATAAATTGTATCTTTTCATTGCAGTGTTCAATCAGGGCGATGAGGGCAGATCTTGGTACATTTTACTGAAGGGTTCTGTGGATGTTGTGATACACGGAAAAGGAACGGTGGCCACACTGAAGGAAGGCGATGATTTTGGGAAATTAGCTCTTATTAACGATGCTCCGAGGTATATAACGTTAGACACGTGCTAATAACGAGAGTACACAATTCACATGAATTGTAATAAAACTCATAACTTCAGCGTAAAAGTGAAAAGACTTTCTAACATTTTATTCCACACCCCGAACTCTCACTTTATAATTCGTCTCTTATATACAATTTACAATAAACAGTTTCAATTGCAAATTCCCGTCATATTCAGTTGACTTACAAGAAACCTCATATCTTTAACGTAGCATATTAATTCTGTTTAGTTTCCCCGTGCATCTTGACAGCTATGCGTCTATCTATTCTCTTTTGTATTATGTTAAACATGAAATGATGCTGTTACTAAAATGACTAACATAATACCCTTTATCTATTTATGCCTGGCGAATGCAAATCCTGGATGTAAACTCACACAAATACTACTACTAAAAATCCGAAAGAGCTGCAACAATAGTGCTGAAGCAAAATAATTGCCATCTCCTGCGGGTGGATAAGGAGCATTTTAATCGAATTTTGCGGGACGTGGAGGCAAATACACTGAGACTGCAGGAGCATGGAAAAGATGTGTTAATATTGGAGAGGGTGGCAAAGCAACGAGGACATGCGGCATATAAGTAGGTCACCATTAATAATGTTATTAAGTCAATTTAAGTACATGCAACTCACTCAGCTCATTCCCGTGTTGTATCACTATCCTCCAGGGGATAATTCCTGTTTTACAATGCACCACTGGATATTAGTTGGACGACCAAGTGCGGCTTGCGGAGCAGAGTTGCGCTCATAACCCCTTCATAATTCATTTGTAGTGACCCATTCCTCCTCTCATTCATGGCACAGACTATTTTTATTAATTTCCTTCCGCCACAGTGCTCACAAAACTATGACGTTCTTTCAGAGAGCGACGCGCTTCACTATTGTCCTTTGTATGGAAATGATTGCATGCAATTTCCCAAATCATCGGGTAAATCATTTACCTCGATATTGAAACTGTTGTACAACATGAACATTCAAATTGAATCAGCCTGTCATTGAATCTACAATTGAACGATTACCTGAAATGTATTTATGCGCCTGCAATGCAGATTCAATATCGAGACATTTCAGATTCACGTCACATCTGCAACATTCTTCAATTAAGTCCCTGTTGAATTTGACCACTGTTGAGCCACTCTTCGCTCTCCATCTCTTCTATCCAATTTCGTGTGATGAGACAGCCGGTGAAAAGTTCATTTTGGGCGACGAAGGAAGAAAAATATTTGCACATGTTTAATTACATGGGATGTTGGAATGGAGGAATGTTAATTAGTGTCAACATTTCATGAGGAATTAATTGAATGATCTTTCCACCCCTCAGGTACACGGTGATGTCGGGGACGCCGCAGAAAATGCTTGAACACCTCCTGGAGACCCGCCTTGGCGGTCAAGTGGGACCAAATGATCCGTTCCTGGACGACTTTCTCCTCACGCACATTGTCTTTCTGCCAGTTCACATGCTAGTCGACGAACTTGCCAATCAATATCCTTTTCAAAAGATCGTCACACCTTTTGTTTTCCAGGGTCTCTTGCTGTTGATTTAATTTGAAATATTCCTTAACAGCCCTCGTGCACTTATCACAGTGATTTAGAGAATGAAGGCGACAATTCACCGAGCGTGGAGGATCGTGAGTATTTGATCACGTGCAAGCGGCGTGTGGTGCAGTTCGTGCACAAATGGGTGATTGCTGTGCGGAATGTGGTGTTCGAGGATCCCGTGGCTGTGGACTTTATCGAGGAGTTGGCGAGCGAAGTGGAGTCAGATCCGGATCTGCAGGAGGAGGCGAGTGTGATGCATCACGTCCTATCGCAAATTGCCCGCTACCAGGAGGACAAGACACTGCACAATGGGCAAAAGTGGAAATTGCCACCCAATGGGCAGCCCATTTGTCTGTTCAGCGGCAATCCATCAGCCACGCGGACGCTCATTCGCGCGGACGATGACAGTGAGTACATGAAGGCATTTTCACGCTTGCAAACTATCCATAAATTCTCTTTCACTTCCCACGTAACCGCGTATATATTTTCTCTTTCTCTCTCTCTCCCCTGAAACAGTAATCTTTCGGGTCTACTGTGCTGACCACACATACTGCACGCTTCGCTTCCCAATTGCCGCCACGGCGGAGATGATTAAGGCCTGTGCTTCTGATAAATTGCAGCTCAATCGAGCGCCGGATGATTTGTACCTGGTGGAGGTGAAGTCCAACGGGGAGCGATCAGTCTTTAAAGATAACGACGTGAGTGTTCCCACGGCGCTCAGTCTCAACGGACGACTCTTCGTCTCGCCCAAGGACCATCTCGACGCAATGGTAAGTAGGCGGGATGGTGGAGAGTGGAAAAACTGGGTCATTGGGGGCGCGCATCAGAAGTGAACAACCCTGAAGATGGTCTGAAGAGAATTTACATGAATGGAATGCATAAAATGTATGCATTTTTCATACACAAATTTCTTTGCATAATATCAGAGAGAGACTTTCCTGTGGAAAATTCAATTCCTGTCGTCGGTGGTGATGGTATTTACCTTGGCAATTTATCACATTTCTCCCTTGTAGACACCCTTGCCGGAACAGGAGGCTGCCACCGAGGGTCTGGACATAGATATTGAGGTTTTAAGCACCAAAGAATTAGCATATCACATGACACTCTTCGACTGGGATCTCTTTTGGGCCGTTCATGAATATGAATTGCTGTATCACACCTTTGGACGGCATCATTTTGGCAAAGTAAGTTAACAAAAACTTTCTGTCGACACTCTCCTTTGTTGTTTTTTTAAGGCGTGCGACATCAGAAATATTGTGATGGGTGGATTTCTCAAAAGTTGATGACAACATGACATTTCTAACCATGTTAGTGCGCACAATTGATAAAAACGACACAGAATCAAGTGAAAAAGTGGAAAAAAGTTCTACTTTTGTTGACTCTCAAGAATTTTCGTCAATCCGAAGGAAAATGCCATTTAATGAATGTTAAGTTTTCAGACAACATCGCAATGCTTCAGAAGTTGTGATTACATCTTTGATAGACATAATTTTAGTTCAGGTTTTGAAATTCATTTTAATTTTTCATATGAAAACTTTGACTTGTGGTTTTGCTCAAAGGAACAATCAAGGAAAGACCGGAAAGTCTGTGATGTTCAACGTATGGTTTCTCATTCCCAGTATAATTTTCACAAAGGATAAAATATCATGTAAACACACTTTTACTTTCCAACTGAAACATTTGTTGCGACTCTAGCGAACAGGATTTCCACTTAAAAGCGCAACACGTGTGGAAATTTTCCACTTCCCATGGCAAAAGGCACAATTTCAATGAATTGTTCACGAAAGTCTGTGGATTTGTTCAAATTCTCCTGACTGTTTTTGCCAACTGTCCGTCCGTGACAGTTTTTCTCCTCCCTCAGCTCGTCTCGCGCTCTGTTCATCAGAAAGCCATTTTGGCTGTGGTGCTCGAGATTTAAATTTATGTGTCTAAAAAGTGAGCCAATAGACACAAATGCCTTTCAACCGTGTGCCTTTCTGAGCTTTTGCCAGTGCGACGTCAGGTGGGCGCGAATCCCCGTCAGTTGGTGTTCATTTAAAACTTTTCTCGCAAAGTTCTCACTTTTTCTCAAGTCTTTTGTGCAAAAGTTATATTTGATTGAAAAAAATGGGACTCCCGACCAGGAGCTGTATAAAGTTAAGCCCTCTCTGTCTTTCATTCATAATAACCGCGCGCTGCACAGGTGATAATGGAGTGAGAAGCTAATACAGCAATCTTCTCAACAAGCCTCCAGGCTTCGCTGGAGTTTCGTCCCAAACAAAAGAGTTGTCGAGAACATTTATCTGGAGGGAAGAATCTATTTGAAAGTTGTAGCGCTTTCCTTCCTTCCCCTTCACCTCTATTAAGGGGTTCTTTTGTACAAATCTTTTGATTACACATATAAGAAGAAGTATAGGAAAAGATAAACATCCAAATTATCACTTGTACAGCAAAACGGATGCAATTTTCTCCAGTGAAAGTAATTTAACTCCTGGTATTCCACATCTATGTCGAAGTGAAATATTGTGTGGCAGGTTATTAGTGTATAATTAATCAGGAGTGTGAAGAGGATGTGATTTGGATCGACGCAAACTGTTGAAACTAGAGAAAGAGAAGTGGAATTGCTAATTAATTTCCAATCGTAATTTGTCTAATTACAGATAACTGCTAATTTAGATGTCTTCATCAGGAGATTCAATGAGATTCAGTATTGGATTGTAACGGAAATTGCTCACACTGTGAGTCTCAGCAAGAGAGTTTCCCTCCTGAGGAAGTTTATCAAGTTGGCAGCTTAGTAAGTTTTCTCACACTGTTCTTAAATGTATATCACAAATCATATATCCTTACATCTGTATATATTTCGCAAATGTCCTCTTTTTAAATGTCTCGACTTTGCGATAATGTTTTTCTCACACTTCCATTTGCAGCTGCAAGGAATATCAGAATCTAAATGCATTCTTTGCCGTCGTCATGGGTTTGTCAAACAATGCAGTGTCACGACTCACTCAGACATGGGACAAAATCCCATCCAAGTTTCGCAAGATCTTCACGGAATTCGAGGCTCTCATTGATCCCAGTCGAAATCATCGTGCTTACAGGATGTTCGTGGGTAAATTGCAACCGCCCTTGATTCCCTTTATGCCTTTGCTCCTTAAGGACATGACGTTCGCGCACGAGGGCAACAAGACGAGTCTAGATGGATTGGTGAACTTCGAGAAGATGCACATGATGGCCCAGACAATGAGGACGATTCGCTTCTGCCGATCCCGCCACTTAGGTGAGCTTCTTTGCATATTTTCTCAACGTTTCAGCACACTTCGTGCCATTGAATAATTTAAATGTAGATATTTTTGATCTTAAGTACATTTCCCGTCTGTATATTTGTGCAGCTGATTGATTATATTAAATTCACCTGTTTGTCTTATCCTTCCATTGACGTCGCGCGTCTCCCGGAGCAGTTCTGGATCCGCCATCACCTAAAAGCGAAGGCGAAGTTCGTTCTTATATCAGTTGCTTCCGAACCATTGACAATCAGCGAGTGCTCTCGGCGATGTCACACAAATTGGAACAATCCAGACGAACATAATGTGTCCCACCGAACATTTCCAAGACGCGAATTCCCTGTCTTGCGCTGCACAGAGAAAAATTGCTCGCGAATATTAATCAAAATGTTTTTGACACTCACTTTCCGCATCAGTTGACTAATTCTTTAAAAGATGGAAGAAAGTTTATTCTAAAACAATCACAACCACTCAGTTTTTTTTTACTCAGTTTGATAACAAGGTTTCTTTCTCTCTCTCACTCTCTTTCTTATCTTCAACGACAATTTCTCTCTGTGCACAAAGTCTGCTCACATTTTCTACCCACGTCTTTTTGCAACTTTTTCCATTAATATTCCTCATATTGACTCTTCCAATTTCACTATGAAAATCTACACACTTCAGAGTATTTAAAAATATACAATTTATGCATTATATTCTTCTAAAAATGAAAAAAAACAACAACTTTATAGAAGACACATATTTTTATGGTCGAGAGAAATAGGAAAGAAAATTTAACAAAAAATGATTACAATTTTCGCGATGAAGTGAAGAAGAAACAATACTGAATGATGAAAAGGTTTAACAAACAAAGTCTTATGAAATTATTATATTAAGAGATTGTGTAAATTAGAGACTCTTCCTAATAATCTACATAGAGAAAAGGTAAATGTATATAATATCAATCACTTTTATCTATATGTAAATTAACATTTTAAATAGAAATCAAGAAAAGAGTAACAAAGTAACCTTGAATTGTAAGAGAGTTGAATTATGAAAAGAAATATTGTATCTTTTGAACTGTGATTGGCAAATTATTTTTACTAAAAAACAAATTTAAGATGTAATAAGAAGAATCCTAGCGAAAAGTAAAACTTATCTAGAAATCCTTCGCATAAACATCACATTTTATTTCATAAAAACCTTTGGGAGGAAAGGAAAATGGATTAACTTGAGGTAGTAAATTACAGAGAAGCTAAGCTATAGGGAAATCTAGTGACACAGTTTGACCTCTAAAGGACCAACGATAGGATATCCTTTAAAAATATCTAATGTAGCATAGAAATAAGTGCATAAATATGACAAGATAACGCCAATTTAATAAGAATTCTCCTTTCAATTGCCACTTAAAACAGTCTAAAACAGCAATTTGTTTGTTCACAAAAATGTTTCCACAGTAAAAAATCATTCCTATTTCCTGTTCACTTTGAATCCTTTAAATGATTAAACACTTATGAGGTCAATTCTTTTGACTTATGTTGTTTTGAAAGATTAAATAAACGAATAAGAAGCAATAAAATCTGAAGAGAAACTTACAACAACTAATCTTAAGGTATAATTACATCTCTAGCATATGTAAGTCTTCTAGGGTTTAAGGAGTAATGATAAGGAAATTGAATATGTGTAAATATTCAAAGAATTGGAACTGCACCACAATCAAATGAATAGAGATCTTTACTTGTATTAACGGATTAGAGAGATTTTGTAGCGATTTAGCTGATAGCTGTACTTCTTCTGTTTACAATTTAGACAAATTAATAGGAACCTATCTCGGATAGGGGTTAATTGATTATTTATTAATTTTTTGATATATTAAAAAAAAAGAGAAGAAAATATATTTGGAAATGTGTGTATAAAAAATGTAAAGGATAAAAATCTTACATAGAAAATGTCTGGAAAATAGTTTACAAAATAAAAAAATACATAAAATAGGAAAAGTGAGAGATAATATTTAAATATAGGGTAAAAACTAATATTATATGTGATTAGAAAAGACAATCTATCTCTCCACAAGTAACTTATTAGCGAACTTTTTGCGAGTAATCAAAAGAATGTTAGGAACTATCATCAGCTCAACTTCTGAACAATATGCAGAATTTAAATTTCCACACTCGTAATAAACTCTTAGTGATTGTGATAACTTTATCATTCGGGCTATTCACAGGCATCTGGCAACTTAACTCTCTGAGACAGGAAGTTCTAGTCCTTGAAACTTGACCTTAATCCGAGAATTAAACTTGCTGAGCAAATTATTTTCCATATTTATCGTTGCGCTCAACAATTTTACCTTCCACGCCAGGATCTTTTAGCACAATAACTATAGAAATAGGGCAATTAGAATGATTTCCTTACTGAACTTCTTTTTCCCCTGTGTAGACTATAAGAAAACTAATAGGAAATCCCTTTCGGCAAAACTTTGAAAAGTTTAATAGGAACTTTAAATTGTATAATTGAATAATTTTGATTCACTATGAAAGTTGTACAAGTATTGTTGTCATCTAATTAATCATAATATGGGATTATTTTCACATTAGAAGAGTAAAAAGAATTTTATTAAGATATTTGACTAAAACATTGTGAAATATATAAGTATAATTATAAGTTTAATATTTTAGAGCGTTTGATAGTATTTTTCTGTATGTATAGAACATTGTAAGCTGTTCACGGGGTGACGATGATTTTTCTTGTAATATCTGATTTTATTAAAATAACTTATTTACCAAAAAAATCTCTGAATTTCCTTCCACTGACTTTAGCCGAGACACCAGGCGAGTTCTTCAAATTCGAATTCAACCCCCGGGCGCACATTTGGTTGGCTTCGACTGGCCAGCGGAAACCTGCAAAAGTGAAATTCGAGACGTCATCGTGATTGCTTGTGAGTGACAAAAAATATTTTGCAAAGATATTTTCGGGGCGGATTTCCTCGCGTTTTCCGCACAAAATGGCTTTCGTGGCGGAAATGAAGATGCTCCTCGCGTGTCGGGGCTCCTTTGGCCAGGTGAGATCAGTGAAATCCGGTGTGGGATCACGTGTAATATGGAAATATCGCATCAATTGCACTTTCCGTCTCTGCGTTACATAACCTGTTCTGACGTGGGTCTGCGGGCTCTTTTGATAAATCCATCGCTTTATTTACATTCCTGCCAATTTGCGATTCAATTAGCCTCAAGTGGCGTGTGAGACAATCGCTGATTAATGCGGCCAATCGATCCAGTCAATGAACATGCCCGCGGCCTTGGAAGGACGCGCCTCACAATTGATTTGTCTCAGAGTGGGCAATCGAAAGTGTCTGGAAATCGCATTAATTTATGACTCGTGGATTTTATCGGTGTTGTTTTTCGCACTTGCAGATTCGCTTCGCCTCCCAAGCGGCCGGCGCCATGGTGAAGGAGTTCCAGGTGTACCGCTGGAACCCAGACGAGCCGTCGAAGAAGCCCTTCATGCAGACGTACAAGGTGGACCTGAAGGAGTGCGGCCCCATGGTGCTGGACGCCCTCATCAAGATCAAGAACGAGATGGACCCCACGCTCACCTTCCGGCGCTCCTGCCGCGAGGGCATCTGCGGCTCGTGCGCCATGAACATCGGCGGCACCAACACGCTGGCGTGCATCTGCAAGATTGACCGTGACACGGGCAAAGCGGCCAAGATCTATCCGCTGCCGCACATGTACGTGGTGAAGGATCTCGTGCCGGACATGAATAACTTCTACAAGCAGTACAAATCGATCCAGCCGTGGCTGCAGCGCAAGTGAGTATCGCGGAGGCTCGTCTCCTGGCGCTTATCGCGCCTCTCGGCTTGCGTCAATCGCCAGACAGATTGCAAATTTCATTCATCTCTCTCGCTGCGCTATCAGTTCACTGAGGGTTCAATGATTTGGGCAGCAGAGCGAGCCACGCGACCAGAAATTCCCTTAAATGAACCTCCGAAATTGCCGTGAAATTGATGTTCGTCACAGTGTTGGGCAAAACCGAGCGTGGAAAAGTGTGTTTTTGAGGCCTCTTTAGCATTCCAATTGACGGGGGGCTTTCAAGGGGAGGAGTTTTAGGGCCGTGGGAGATCCAGCAATTAACAGATCTCTCTTTCAATTGCAGCGACACGAGCGAGAAGAAAGGCGATGCTCAGTATTTGCAGTCGGTTGAGGATCGCGCCAAGCTGGACGGTCTGTATGAGTGCATCATGTGCGCCTGCTGCTCCACATCGTGTCCATCGTACTGGTGGAACAGCGACAAGTATTTGGGGCCGGCGGTGCTCATGCAGGCCTATCGCTGGATTATCGATTCGCGTGACGAGAAGACGGAGGAGCGTCTGGATCGCATGCGTGATCCCTTCAGCGTCTACCGGTGCCACACCATCATGAACTGCAGTCGCACATGTCCCAAGGGCCTCAATCCCGGACAGGCTATTGCTGAGGTGAAGAAGCTCATGTCTGGCCTGGCCAAGAAGGGCGATCCCGGACTCGAGACGGCCGCGATGCACAAGAAGTAGCCTTGTGACTTAGCTAAAGCGATTTCAATATGATAATTTATATAGCAGATCACCGCGAGAGGAGTGTAAAGAGTGGAAAAGCAAGAAAAGCGAGAAATAAATTGTGTTTCGGCACGTGATTTCGTTGATATATTGAAATTGTTGTTTTGAGTGTATGGAAAAGTGTGGAGTCGAGACACAAACCTTTAGCGGGTATTTCGCCGTAACATCGTTGGCAGCCCTGAATGCTCACCCAAACGCCATAATTAAACAGTGACGTCACCTTTGTTTGCGATAGACGCGATGGTCCTCTTGGAATTTCACCCAAAAACCGTGTTATTTCCGTGAATAGCGTGCAGAAAAGTGTGTGAAAGTGTCGCTAAACCTCCTTTTCAGGTAATTGTGATGGAGTACTGGTGAAATGTGGCGTATTTCACGGGAAAAAAGGGGATGTATTGTGAGCGCGTGAAAATGGAGAATTGTTGTGTCGTCACTGCGTGGCCCCCTTATTCGATATGTTATAAATAGCGTCTCAGCCTTTCTGACTCTCAGCGAGAGAGATGAAGTTGCGGCACGCGAAAGTCAATTGTTTGGGTGTGAAGTGTGAAGGGAAGGTCTCGTCCTTTCTCACTTCTTCGGCACAAATCGAAGTGTGCGCGTTCCCATCAACAACAGACCCGTGAGATAAACAATTGCCCTCGCCAGTCTCTCTTCCCCTTCTGCGTCGCGTACAGTACTGTATGCCGTGTGATGACGCGCACTTCTCCATGCGCCATATAGAATGAGAATGGGAGGGATGACGAGCGTGAAGTGTGAGAATGAATTGTTGTATTTTTCCCGTTGCCTTTCTCTTGACAGTGAAAAGTAAAGCGTGCGCGTGTGAAACGCTGAGCCATGGACACGGTTTCGCCACCGCACACTCGATCACGATCGCGATCGAAGACGCCCTTCATCCCGACCGTGCCGGAGGATTATGCAAAGTCGTCGGAAAATGCTGATCAGCAGCGCGAGAAGAAGCGATCGCCAGTGCGAAAGGAGCCCACAGTTCAGTGAGTATTCTAGGCTCTTAGTCAGACTGCTTGAAGATGTTTGGCCTACAAAGATTATGTAATTGTCAAGCATAGCTACACAGGAATGCATGAAGGAAAATGATATTGACATTACACATGTTTACACAAGAGTTTATGTACACACTGTACATGAATGACAAGAAGTTTATGTGGAGGGTTTGCTCAAAACTTCTCCCAAAATACACTCTCAGACTTTGTATCATAATTAGCTGCTAGATAAAGAGCAAGAGTATTGGTTTTTCAACACATGAGCTTCAAAAGAACAGACTTAAGATGCATGATTAGCTTTATCACGTGTATTTGAGAGCATTGGAGGCTTTGTAGAGATCACACTGTATTAACATTCCTCTTTATTTGTCCGGCAGAACCATCCAAGAAGTGGAGGAACCCTCGCAAACACCTGCCAAGCGATCAAAGAGGGAGACTAAGTCCACAAATGTGTCCCCGAATGAAGGCACGAGTGGCAAGAGTCAGCAAAGCAGTGTGTCCAGCAGCACTGTTGTCGTGACATCCACAACGAAGGTCGTGACGCGAGGAGAGGCTGCAAGTGCCACATCAAGCGTTCAGCAAACATCCACCGCCACCCCGAAGCGCGATATGGTGAACCAGAAGGAGTTCAATCGCGGCCTGGAGGGGAGTTACAAGAAAATCAGCACACCGCGCAACAACAAGGCCACAGGATCGGTCGCTGGGAGTACGAATGGGAACCTGAGTGAGCACATTGCTTACAAGGAGTACAAAGATGCCGGCGAGTACTGGAATAAGTTCCCCAAGACCGACTACACGTACAGCAAACTGTCGCCGCACCGGCGAGAGATTATTCCGGGTGTGATTGCCATGCCGAATATGTCGCGAAAGAGTCTGGAGAAGCACAAAGAGCGGGTGAATCTGATGGCACTGCAGAATCCATCGCAGGAGTCATATATTCGTGCCAGATATGAGTCGAGTAGATTCGCAGGTGCCGGACGCGCTTTGCACTACGATTCGGGTGAGGATGAGATGGACTTGTCGCAGTTCGACAGGAGGAAATACACTCAAGTCTATCGTGAGACGGTGTTCAAGAGAATCTACACGCGCATCATCACAACCATTGTCACCAGCTGGTATTGGATCTCTCGCCCATTCAGGGCGTCCGAGAAGACGGCCTATTACACAGACGTTCATCAATCTGAGCAACAAAAAAGTAAGAAAAACTCTTTGATTGAGTAAGATTTCGCTATCATTTGAGATTTGTGCACAATGTCAGAAATTTTACATAATTTATTCAATGAGTGTGTGAGACTTGTGAAACGAGCTGAAAAGCGAAAGAGAATGTAATATTTTGCATGCAAATGTCACATGTGAAAACGTGTTTTCAATGCAGCCATACAAGAATTTTTGCCAATATTTTCAGGCATCTTTCGTCGCTTGTCGTCAGCCATTGGCAACAGCTTCATGTATGCTTTCCAGCGTGTTTATCTGCTGATCGCCTGGATCCTGCTGCTGGACACGTGGCTGTTGCAGAGCAAAACGGAAGGCGGTCGTCATAAGAAGAAATTCTTATGGTTCTTGATTTTACTGCTTCCATTCTTGCTGTTCGGAGGTGAGTGACTCTCTTCTTCAGATATATGAATTCTCGCTAGCAAAAAAGACTTCATGTTTCACACGATAAAACCTCCACACTTTAAGGGGTGATTTTTTTTTGTTTATTGCGGAACGACATCACCTAATTGATACTTTGATATGTCTTTTTCAGGAGCCTATTACTTCCTTGATCCACCTTCCACATTGTCATTGAAACAATTCACTAACTCACTCAATTCATTGCAAATTGATCGCGTGAAAAATTATGCCATTGACTCATTTGAAGCCCTAAAAGTGGCTTCGGGTGGTTGCGTTGACTATTTGAAAGTCACCACAAGTAATCTCGTGGATGAGGCACAGAAATTGTGGAATGAGAATTTTTCACGTCCATAAAATTTTCAAATAATTCATATAAATTAATTGATTAATGCATTGATAATCATAACATTTAGAGAGGAGGTTCTTAATAATACACCATTTTTTCTTACTGAGTTTGTCACACGAGTAAGATTTGCCCAAAATGATGCAATTTCTTATTCGTGTTTCAATGCAATTTTACATTTTAATTGGTTCTTTGTGCAACACTTATTGTAGAATTAGTTCTTATATTTTTTTTTTGTAAGAATTTTGCCGGGCGGATTTTTCTATATCTAATTGCATTATTTCAATTAAAAATTATACATATTAATATGAATGCGTCACTAAAATTAAATTCAATTAAGTACAAAAAAGTATTTTACATAAAGTAGATTTATAGATTTTTTTTTCTGATTGGAACTTGATATTTTTTAATTTACAAATTAGTAATAATAACACATAGTAGATTGTGTACAAGAATGAACAAAAAAAATTGATATTACGACACGTAATATATTAATATAATTGATTCTAAAGTAGTGAAAATTCACTTTTCTGGCAATTTAACATCACTTCCAGAAATTCAGAGTGAATTTAGATTAAGGAAATATTTTCATACATATTCCTAAATATAATCCCTCTATTGAATCCTTTTCCAACGTCCTTGTACAAGAAACCGTTGCATTAAATGTTTTCTGGAGAAGGATAGAGAGAACTTCAGCGAGACTTGATGGTGGAAAAAAGAAAATGAAAAGATGATCACTTTCTACCGCACAACATCACAATAAACTTTTTCTTATTTTTCCTTTTTTTTGCATAAATCACATTGAGAAGACAAGCAGTCTTGAATGTTTCTTTGAAAACATGAAAACAAACAAAGCATTGAAAGAGTAACATAGATTTTTTTCTTTTTATAATTTATTGTCATATCTGTAAGTTTTGTCAATCGATAGAATGGTAAATAAACAAGATTAATAAACAAAGAACATTTTTCTTTATTTCTTGCGGAAGCATTTATCTTCTTTTGGTGGTATTCTGCTTGCATTTCAAGTGGCTGTCCTCTATCCTTCTTCACACTTTTCTCACATTTCGTGAATGCATTTGTAAAATAAAAAGAAATATTAACTTTGTCTCATGTTTTTATTATTTTTCTGAGCGTCTGTATAGAAATCATGAAGTGATAACTCTTAATTGATTTTCAATTGATTAACAAATTTGTTGTTTTGGTCAAAAGTGTGAAATAAGATAAAGGATCGGCCTGACTAACATCAAAACTTAAGGCTCATCGTTCTTGGGCAAAGAATGAGATGTTTATTTGATCTTTTCAGCACTGGCTCTGTCAGAAGAACAGAAATCGGTGATGCAATTTCTTCCCCTCAGTCTCGGATGGTTGCCATCAATCTTCCCATCGTCAGCTTCCACGTGGAGGGAATATCTTCCCAATCTCAATCAGTTCGCCTTCTTGCTACCGTCTAGTCAGGAGAGAAGCGACGAGAGTGCGAACTTCAAGCAATATCTCACAGCTGAAGAGTACGCGAAACTCTTGAGTCACATTAACCAGTACATTGAGGCCATGGTGATTAAGAAGGACAACGAGAGGACTTCCAGTGAAAAGTTGACTGTTCTCATTGACAAGATTGTGCAGGAGAACATTGTGATGTACAAATATCAGCTGACCGAAGAGGATATCGAGAGGATTGTCATGATAACACTTGAGCGATTGAAGACAGACAAGACGGCAGGATTGCAAATTAATCAGGACGTTATCAATAAGATCACTTTGTCAATTAGAGATCAGTTTGAGGGCGAGTCGAAGACACAAACTGATGAGATCATTGTGAAGATTCTTCAGTCAAATCGTCTTGTGGAAATGATGGAAGAGCGCTTCAAAGGCAGTGAAATGCCACAAGATACTTCGAAGTATGATGAATTGATAGCGAAACTCTCCTTGGAGATCAGCAATATCCGACAAGATCTTGTAAATCGCGCCAATCGCGATGAGGACATCAATTTCACGTTGGAAAGCATGAAATCCCAGCAGGAAAATATCGCTGATCAATTGTACGACTTCAGGAGGGAAAGTGATGATAGATTTGACAAACTTCTCAGTGACATTGATGTGAAAATTGCTGCCATGAGTGATTCACAGTATTCTGAGATCGATAAGCACATCCGTCGATCACTTGTGCAGATTTTCAACATTAATCAAGGCGGTGGTGAATTCGACGAGAGTGATCTTCGTGCTTGGATTAAGAATTTGTTTGTTGCCAAAGAATACCTGGAGGCTCGTCTGAATGATGTTCAAAGTCAATTTAGTGGTCAAATGGCGGAAGAGATTCAACTGTTGTCTGGGATTATTATGAAAAATATCACAGATACGCTTAGGGTGGAAATGCTGTCGCTCGTGGAGGGAAAGATGTCGGGTCAGGGGTTGGGAAATGCCCAGGAGATTGACGTGAGTGAGGATCACGTGAGGCGAATCGTGTGGGACGCTCTGAGAGTGTATGATGCTGACAAAACTGGTCTGGTGGATTATGCGCTGGAATCGGCTGGTGGACAAGTGCTCTCCACGCGATGCACTGAGAGTTATCACACGAAAACGGCGCAGATATCAATCTTCGGCATCCCTCTGTGGTATCCCAGTAACACACCGAGAACTGCCATCTCGCCCAGTGTTCAGCCAGGCAATTGTTGGGCCTTCCAAGGTTTTCCGGGATTCTTGCGTGAGTAGTGAAATTGATGAATCTCCACAGAACATCGATTTATTGACTTTTTGCCTGACTTCCAGTGCTCAAACTCAATCTCCCAATTCTCGTGACTGGTTTCACGATGGAGCACATTCCGAAGTCCTTGGCGCCCAATGGACAGATTGATTCAGCCCCAAAAGGCTTCTCCGTTTGGGTATGTTTTGACTAAAATGTTGTCTAATTCAAAGGTGGGATGAAGTGTAAAGTCAATTTGCACGACACTTTTCAGGGCTTGACGGATGAAGGTGATCAGGAACCGCTCTTGTTTGGGAAGTACATCTACGAGGACAGCGACAGGAGTCTTCAGTACTTCCCAGTGGAGAATCAAGGCATCACGAGACTTCATCAGCTCGTGGAGCTGAGAATTGAGTCGAATCACGACAATCCCATGTACACGTGCCTGTATCGCTTCCGTGTTCACGGAACTCCTCGATCGTGATGTTCAACACACTGCAGCTGAAGCGCTTTACCGAAGAGTGACTTAAACTTGACTAAAAAAAAAACCTAGTATTTTACAATGCAACGTTACTACATGGAAGTAATCGTCAGGAAAATAATTTGTATGTGTGTGCAAAAGAAGTAGAAATTTAGGGTCTTTTTGTAAATAAAAGAGGAAGTGAATGGTTTATTTTTTTTACAAGTCTGTGTCGTGACGAATTTATCAGTTAGCGGATTTTTTTTAGCATAAACTCTGTAGGTTTAATTGACTTTCTTTTAAAGATTGCTGGTCGATGTCAAAGTACAAAAGAAGATACCAAGATCAATGCTTAATGGCTAAAATAGGTCAAGAATACGTTTACAGTGACACTCGATTGAATTTAACAGCGGCATATATATAAATTGAAATATAAGCTACATATCCAAAGAGTGCGCAATAGCCTATTAGAATCATTATTTTGTAAGGACCGACGATATCAGTGTAAATGTACTCTTTCCCTTTGATTTATGATAGTTTTTTAGGAATACGCCTTAGAACATTAGTTTTATTTTTAGTTTCACGCACAGACTCAACAATTTGTACAGCTACAAAATCACACATCACTTGAAGTTCGGAAATAGACGGTTTCTCTAAGATAATAAAATACTTTTCCTCGATATTCTGGTCTTTTTTTCTATATTGATTGTCGATATTTATTACATAAACTCGTGTCCATAATTTGTTCTGTTTGAGAGAAAAAACCTATCAGTTTGACCAGGAGTATTTATAGAAGTCTTTTGTAGTTAATTTTTATATATTTTATTGCCAAAATATCATTTGGCGCTGAATAATATTTTGATGTGAAACCAAGATTACGGACTTATGTGTGTAATAAAGTAGGAAATGAGTAATAAAGGCGCTCCCTCGCTTATTTGTGAGTGTTTTTAAAATCAAATTAGTCCAAATTGGATATGTCATGAGACATCAGCTTTCGTGCCACTATCAGTTCGGCAGACTCGTCAGTTGTCTGTGAGCAATTGAGACGGGAGCAAGTGAAAAAATACGACAGTGGAATTTTTCCCCAAGAGTCTCAAGCAGATTTGATATTGTGTGCCTTCTTCGGATTCGTCTTTGTGTGTGCGCGCGCCAAACAAAGGGAAGGAGCAGCAAAATGAGGAATCTGCTATTGCCACTCTTCGCTGTGACGCTCTTTGTCACATGCCGAGCTGTGAAGATTCAAGATTGTGGTAATGAGGAAAAGGATGCTGTTTTCCTGTCTCTCGAGATCACTCAACTTGGCAAAGTGCGCAGAGTCTCACGAAAGAATGATAAAGCGGCAGCCGAGAAGAGTGATCTTGTGTGTAATTTTTTCGCCTCCGACCTCAATTGATATCAATTCATGAATTTTATTGGTGTCACGACTCTCTTCCACCACGCAGGATCAAAAGCCGGATCATTCTCGAAAGTGGAAGTGACAAATTGCAATATGGACGCTCCGCCGTGCATTCTCAAGCGCAACTCAAATGTCACCATCTCGATTGAATTCACGCCAGGTAAGGAAGCACACCTTTATCTTGTGCACAAGGCGATTTTTCTTAACGACAAATGCCGAGTCATTTCACGGAAAAAAACCACACAGAATAATGCACAAAATTATGGTAATGTTAATTACCATTTGCAGAAAATGTCGAGTCAGAAATTCTCAGAATGTTATATTTTGTGTGCATGCACTTCGTGATTATCATGCTTAGGCTTAAAGCGAAAGTCAAGATAAGAAAGAGTCTTTCTTGCATGTTTTTCTAGCTCAAAACAAGCTATATAATCAGACAATCTTCCTGCGCTTCCTGTGCTGGTTATATTTCTGATGTCTCGTTGAGAATTAAGAGAAAAGTCATCTTATCATTGTGTGTCCCAAATGGGGACGAAAAATCCTTAATCAATTCCAGACATCGAATGCAACGACGTGACTGCAGTTGTTCATGGAGATCTTCTGGGCGTTCAGGTGCCATTTCCCATCTCGAATCCCAACGCCTGCCAGAGCCCAGGAGTGGATTGTCCCATCCAGCCCCAAACCACTTACAGCTACACGGCGACTCTGCCTGTGCTCAAGAGTTACCCTAAAGTATGCCACACACTCAATATCTCCTCAGCTGATCTTTAACCAATCTCGCAATTGCAGGTAAAAGTTAACGTAAAGTGGGAGCTTCAGAATGCCAAGAAGGATGACATCGTGTGCGTTATAATCCCAGCCAAAATCGAATAACAATCTTCCATTTCACGAAGTGTTTAAGTGGGTTTCCTTGAAGAACTTGTCCTGATATCCCAAAAAAAACCACAGATTTTCATATGAAAGACTTCAAAATTTATTCCAATTATTAAATCTCTTACTCTTCTCGAATTACAGTTTTGCGTTTAGGATTCTTACGTTAGATTAATGCCAATTATTAAAAAAAAAATTCTGTGTAATAAAACACCCAAGCATTCAATAAAATAGTTCTAAGAATTCATGAAAATCTTTGTCACGTATCAAAGGATATTTGTCTTTTCGCCTTCAACAGATTCGTCAAATTCTTCCCGCCCACGAGTTTCTGCTTCTTATGACTCGAAATGTGCGGACTCACGTTCTTCTGATCCTTGCCGGAAAACAGTCCCTTCTGTGCCGATCGTTGCCTCTCGCCACTGTCCACATTCTCCCTCAGGATACTGCCCGTATCGATCATGCCACAGAAGAAGGATCCCTGAGTACCCTGACTTGCATTCTCCGACTGACTGAAGCGCAGCGATGTCGACTGACTCGAGTTCTCCGACAGGAGCGACGACGACGATCTGTGCATGCCACTTCTGTAGCTCTCCAAGGACACATAGCCATTCGGCCTGAGATAGCTCCTCATCAGCTCCTTCTTCCTGCGCTCACTCGCATAAATCTCCTCCACGGTTTTGCCCTGGAGGACATCAAAGAGAATATTGTTGGCGATCCTGAAAGCACAAAAGCCCGTTAATCCACAATTTCTCCACTCACTTTCTTTTGACATCAAACTTACTTCGACATTTGCTCACTGACGCTGCCAAAAGTCTTTCGATTGGTCTCCAGAAAGAGCCTCTTCACTGCCTTCGCCATCACCGTGGCGTACTCCTTGAAGTGATCGTGCTGTCCAGAAATCTGCTTCCGCTGCAGCGTCTGCGAGACAATATAGAGGAGTTTCTGCTTCTCCAGATCCGTGAGATACGCGTGACTAGATGACGTTCGACCGCTGAGGCACACATCCGATGTGGTCTTGCACAGGGAACTCTTCGTGGCCAGCATGGCATTCTGGCGCGCCACATATTCCGCCGTGAAGCTCTGACTTCGCCCAAAGCTGCCATCCAATCGTGCCAACTTGCGCGTTCCCTCATCGTCGTCCTCCAGAGGACCTCTCTTGCGCTTCCCGTTGAACTCCTCCGCCATGTTCTCCCTGTTCGCCAGCGCGGCGATGGTGAGATTCGACAGGGAAGCGCCCTGGGACAGATTCGACACACTGCTGGAACTGTGCTGAGAGAAGGAGGAGTAGCGAGAGATCTTGGGCGAGGAGAAGAGCGCCCGCCTGGAGCGATCCACGCGCTGAGCCACTTCTGGCGTCACAGCCGGACGAACGTCCTCTTGTCGCGGAGGACTCTGGAACAAGGCTCTCTTCGATGTCTCTCGCGTGAGCGCGGGTTTCACCTCCACTTTCTCCTTCTGCTTCGACTTGGGCGTCTTCCGCTGCGCCGGCAAGCATCTCTTCGGCGTCTTCACGCGTGACAATCGACTCCGCTTCGAACCTCTGTAAGAAATTAACATTTAACTCTCCATTCCCACTCGAGATTGCCTTCAAACAAACCTCGGATCCAGCATTATCTGTCGACTTGAGGACGCTTGAGACAGACGTTGTTGGGATGAGGAGAAGCTGGTCTTCTGCAGATTTGCACACGAGAACATAGCTTTGCGCTTCGCCAAATGACTCAATCGCCGTCCGGGTGATTGATTCAGTGTCTTCTGCCTCAAATACCGCTTCTTCGAGCTGGACGGAGAGTTCAATTTCACAAAGCTCGAGCTCGTCTCCGCCCCAATGAATCTCTCAGCATATTTAACAGTCAAGCTCTCGATTTTCTCACTGTATTTCGACCTGTTGTAGCTGAAATCGGATAAACACAGTCATGAGCTGTTGTTCTTTGAAAGAAAAAAGAGCCAATTTAGCAAATTTTACGGTCACACTTACTGCATTCCATGAGTGAAAACATTCCTAGCGTGCGGCCACGAGGATTCTATGGCTTCCTGGACGGTGTTGAGGGGCTTCATGACGGTCTCCGAGAGGCGGTTAATCTCCTGACACTTTCCACTCGATTCCGCCGCGTTCTTCTCGAATATACTGAGTATCGTCTCGACTGAGAGGTAGGACTTGGTTATGGAAGGCGGCGGCAGGACGCCAGCAAGGGCGTTCTGGAGGCGCTTCAGCATCATCCTCTCCCGCCTGGACGGAGTGTCTTCGTCGGTTGACTGATTGAGGAACGACAGCTCGCATCCGCTCTTCTCGTCAGTCGTGTTAATCACAGCCTCGTCGTCGGAATCAAAGCCCAAGATGTCAGGCGATCTGGCATCGCAATCATCCGCCTCATCAGCACACTGGCTGTCGTTCAAATTCACCGATTCCGTGAGATCTATCTGCAAACTGGCCTGCGAAGAGTCCAGAACCGTCGTTGAAGTGTCATTCATCGAATCGTCCACGTTGATGAGAATCGACGTTGTCTGTTGCGGGATCTTCCCGTTGAAGGTCAGCTCCTCGGCTTTCGGCTCTTGCGCCTCCCCGGAGATCGCATGGAACACCGCCACACAGCTATCGTCCACAATCTCAGTCGGAGACATCTCAGGAGCAATGACTTGGCTGCCAGCGGCGATCATTTCATTCTGGAAGCGAATATCCTGATCGGAAATCACATCTGACTGATCTGTTGAGGCCACACTGGAGTGCAGGAAGATCACATCCGCCTCTTCCTCTGAGTCGGCATTGCAAATGAAGGAGAAGCTCTGATTTTTGGGGAAAACCACAGCACGATGCTCCGGAAAGGAGATTGAAAGTTCGCCATTCAAGCTGTTGTCGCGCTGCTTGTCAGTCTCAAAGCCCCGCATTTCAGCCAATTTACCACCCTCGCACTCCATATTCTCCATCATCTCCACTTTCATCGTCACCCTTGATTGTCTATCCTTGTGGGAGGAATGAAATTAGATGGAATTTCACACTTTTCACGGACTTTTCACCCACTTTTCCCCCCGAAATTATAGCTTGTGTTTTCTCCCGCGATCTCACTGTCAAAATCGGTCAAATCAACATTCGAAAATGCGACACCAGCGCCACAGCGGCTACTAGACAAGCTTTGGGGCACTGACACCAGAGGCGCTCTGTGTTAGCCTCGCCGCCAGCCGCCTTCAGCGCTGTCACAAATATCGCCATCACTTTGCATTCGACCGGCTTCCTGGTAAGTTCATCTCCTTTGTAAATTACATTTTCGCCTACTTAATTGCAATTTTCCTGCGAAAAATGCAGTTCAATTGGTAGATAGATAACAGTGTTATCACTTAACGATAATTTTGATTCGAGATATTGGTGAAATAATGAATAAATTGTCCATTTGTGGTGGCACGTGTTGCACGTGGTGGTGAAAGTAAAAATGTGTATTTCTCTTTCAGATTTTTGTGATTTCCACGAGATATTTTCACAAGTTTTCTCCTGAAACACAAGGAAAGCCTACGGAAAGCATTAAGATGACAAAATACAGCGGGACTTTGAGGAAAACCATGTGGGGCAAATTTGAGGTTAGCTTGCTGACTTGGGGTTCCGGCAATGATGGCGTTCCCTGACTCCAAAGGCAAGTAAATCGAGTATATCTGGGAATAGGATGAATGGAAATATGATGATTTTCAAGTACCGCCCCAGGCCTAAAAACATTGCGGATTGGTTTTTTATCTGAGAATTTATTGAAGTCAACAAAATTGTATTTAGTGAAGCGAAATAGTTGCTGAAATTATGCTTTTTGGCTTACAGAACCTTTTCAAATGGGAAAATGCGGACTTTAAGATGTCTTTCTGAGTGTTCCGGAAATGAAGACGTTTCCTGACTTCAAATAAATCCACAATAACTTATTCCGGTGAGTTACTTTATAAACTTTTTATAATTTATATTAAAATGATGATTTTTACGTACCGCCCCAGGCCTAAGACCATTGCGGATTGGTTTTTATCTGAAAAATTATATTATTTAGCAAAAATATGTATTTATTAGAAGAAAATTGTACAATGATTTTCCTCTTTGGCTTGCAGAGTTTCTTGTGGAAAGGAAAATGCGGTCTTTAAATGGTTGAGTTGATTTTGAGGTGAGTCTGGAATTTTCTTTTTCAAATGTATTTATTGCGCGAATTGATGATAAATTTGACAAGCATATACCTGAATATTATGTTGAACATCTTATTCTGATTTCAAAAATACTCTTCACACACAAATGAACGTTTTCCGATAAACTAAAGAATCAATTTCTTTTACAGACGGGAAGACTTTTATTGCGAAAAGTTGCTGAAAAACTCCTGAAATCCCTGAGGTAAGATTTTGCTTTAAAATTGTTTTATCATAAGTTTAAAATGATGATCCAATTAGTTCAGTTATCCCTATCATAAAAAAGAATGTCCTTCAGAGGCATTCTTGCTGACAATTGAATTCCTGAAGTAACATGAAAAAGAACTCAATGGTTTATTGATAATTAAATTATGCTAATAATTTGATTTCTTCAAATCATTTTCCAGATTTATCTCTGATCTTTATGTCATCCGGAAGGACGAGAAGGAAATAAACTAATGCTATTTTTGGTAAGTTTCGAGTCTTTTATAAGTAAAATTCACAAAAGCAAATGATGACACTTAATATACGCTATTATTACGCTATGAAATGATTACAACTTGCCCTTTCTGAAAATGCCATTCAATCAAGCTAAATTAGTTCAGAATATTTCTTTTCTAATTCGTCTAAATTTCCCTTGTTTTCCAGATGATCATCGAGGGAATTTGGTGGGCGCGCGAGTCTGTAAGATTGTGTCCAATAAAGACAGTGAATTTATTTACATCTTGAGTTTGATTGCGTCCACCCAAGACAATCGCTTGATCTCCAGGCGTCCTTTTGTTTGCACGAAGAGTTTATTGGGGAGGCTCTTTTGTCCCAGCGTCGTGGCTCCGGTCTCTTTCTGGCCCCTCAAGTGCTGCAGGCTCTCGTCCACGTGCACATCGACAGCGGCTGCGTGGACATAAGTCGAATCCACCACGGCGTCGGAGACATTCACGCACACCTCCTTGGACTCGTTCGTGATGACGACATTCTCTCCCCAGAGTTCCGCCAGCTGCAGTCGAATGTTCCCGCAATGCACCTTGGCCAGCAGAGTGCCGTTGAAGCCGAACATCGTGAGATTTCCCTGCTCAACAATATTCACTTCTGCGTTCCGATGAACGCAATTGAGTGTCAGATTTCCCGTTCTGCTGGTGAATTTCGAGCTGGTGCTGTAGCACGATTCTGTGGAGATTGATCCGCTGACAGTGTCCACCTGCAGCTCCTCGCCGAGCACCTTCTCCAGCGACACACTCCCGGACTCGCCCGTCTTGATTTGCACGTGAAATCCCTGAGTCAGTCCCTGGCAGACAATGTCCCCTCTTTCGCTGTGCAACCGGATGCTCTCGCTCCTCAGATTCCGCGTTGATATTCCGCCGGACGTCGAAACTGCCAATTTGTCGCTGTGAAGATCAGACAACTCCAGCGCTCCGTCGGATTTCACGCTCAAATCCGCCTTCACAGGAATCTCCAGAGTCACTTCTGACGCTCCCGGTTGATCAGCGCAGTCCACATTGACGTCATTGCCCAGGACGCGGATGGAGAAGGCAGAATCATCGGACACGGTGGCTCTCAGGATGTTAGCGTCCGGACAATCGAGGAGGTCGTAAGGGAGGATTTTCACTCGAGACACTTTCCCGAAGTTCACATTTATGTGCGAGAATGGATGGATTTTCTCAACCACTTGCTTCTTGTCTTGCCTGGCGACAGTGCCAGTGTGTAACTTCACGGATTTCCGCCGGGAAAGCACCGGAATAACGGAATTAACAACAATCCTCCTGATCATTTTTTGCGGTTATGCGTGCAACAGCTGATTGGCATTTTATACAGCTGGGACGTGGGACAAAATTACAAATATTTTTTACACAAAAATTTATGCAAAGATACATAATTGAAGTGAAAATGCTGAAGTTCCTCGGTGTAAATTCATATTCATTCTTATCCAAGTTCTTATCAGAACATGGGTAAAAGAATTCGTGAGTGTGGTAAAAATCTGCCTTTTGTTACGCGGTAGAAAATAATCAAGTCTGATATGTTTTGACATATTGATTTTTTCTTCGGAGTTTTGGCAATATGGATAGTGCAGAAAAAACTCATTTCTATTAAAAACAATGATCTAAATCACCCTAGACAGTAGTGAAATCGACAACTGAGTGACTAAAGATTCTGATATCGAGTGAAAACAGAGTTTACGGGCAGTTCCTGTGGGTGAAATTGTGAAGTGAAAATGCCGAGCACTCTTTTGTTTGCCACCAACAATGAGGGGCGGGTGTACGCCCTGTCGACGGGCAACTCGGCGTGGCGGGAGTTTCTCTATTTGGGGCTGGAGTTCAAGAAGGTCTCCGCGGTGCCCCACTTCATGTGGTCCATCGGCGGCGATCGGCAGGTGTACGTTCACGTGCACGGCCTCGACATTCCCATTCGCGTGAAGGAGGAGGCCTTCGAGAACGAGCGCTGGCTCCCGCTGGAGGGCTTCAGCAGCCGTCTCCTGCCCACGGATCGCTACAACTTCTCCAACGTCGACGGGACTGTGAATCGAGCCATCGATCGCATCCGGCTGCCGTCGATGGCGTGGCAGTGGGAAGGCGATTGGCACCTGGACTGCTCTCTGGACGGACAGCCGCTGGATCACGATGCCTGGACGTATGCTCTCGACTTCCCGGCCAAGTTTCAGATCAAGAAGAACTGGAATTCGTGCGTGCGACGGCGGAAATGGGTGAGATTCCGGCGATACAGCGCCATGAATTCCTGGTGCGCCGTGGCGCCGCTGCACAAGGATCCCACACAGGAGCCGTTCATAGACGTGGCCATCGGTGGAACAGCAGTGCCGGGTCTGGCGTCAGGAACTCTCCTCGTGTGGGCAATCACAGCTCACGGGAGAGTGATGATCCGCGCTGGCGTGAGCACGACATCGCCTGAGGGGCTGCGCTGGACGGCGATCTCCACGCCGTCCGGCTGTGAAGTCTCCCAGATAAGCGTGGGAGCCACGGGATTGGTCTGGGCCAGTCTCTATTGCGGACGAGCCATCGTGCGCACTGGCGTGACGAAGGACTCGCTCATGGGCGAGAGTTGGCTGGAAGTGAAGCCGCCGGGCAGCGGACTGAAGATCATGCAAGTGTCTGTGGGAACAAACTCCGTCTGGTGCGTCACGAACGACAATCACGTGTGGTTCAGGCGGGGCGTGAAGGGCGAGACGGCGGGCATCAGTGAGGATGCTGCCATCGGGAATGGTTGGGTGGAAATGGTGGGCAATATCTCGAGTGTCTCCGTGGCGGCCAATGATCAAGTGTTCGCCGTGGGCTCAGAAGATCGCGCTCTCTATTTCCGATCGGGCGTGTCCACCAGCGATCCCACGGGCAAGAAGTGGCGTCTCATTCAGTGCCCAATGCAGCTCAGCCGGACATCGAGCATGGCATCCCTCGCGTCTCGACGAAGTGGCTCTGGATCGCCAGGCTCCAGGCATCGCAGCTTGAGTAGTTTGCTGAGAGGACAACACCAGGCGGAGAGCATGATTCTCAGTGAGGAGAACGAGGAAACGTCGAGATCGGCGCCCACAGTGAATCCTCGACACAAGCCGGAGCTGTGGCAGAAGCCCGTTGACTCTCCGCCCAGCACGGTGGGTAGCTTGACGACAGCTGAAGCCCGGAAGGCGGCTCGTGAAGAGGAGGCGCTGTGCGAGAAGCTGCAAAACGTGGCTGCAAGTGCGCCAGTTGAGGAGATATTTGAATTGTCTGGCAGACACTTTGAGACTCCGCTGCGGAATCCACGCGCCTGGAGTCCTGTCCGGAGTGTGGGCTCAATGGTGGGCACAGAAGCCCATCCGGAGAGTGATTCTGTGGTGTTCGACGCGGAAACTTCTCGGGATTCGGGTGTGTTTGGGGAGGAGGACGACCACGGCGGATCTCAGTATTGGGCGGAGTGCGATGTTATCTGGACAGGCTGCAGTGCCGGCGCAGTGACTGTTGATCCACAGATGCTGCCCAATTGGTTCAATGACACCTTGTCGGGCAGTAGTCAAACGGAACTCAATCAACCGTGGCGTCTGCGCATTCTGGAGGATCTCAAGGGACGTCTGTCGGATGCCGATGACCTGGACAAGTACCAGATGGCAGTGGAGATGTCCTCGTGGGTGAAGAGTGGCGAGGCGCGCGTAGCCAAATCCCATGGCGCCTTCGAGGACTGTCTGATTGAGTTAGAATGGGTGACTGCTTCGGGAAACAGTGGTCTCGATTCGGGAACTCTCACGATTCTCAATCCCGACGGAGTGACAACAAAGATGCAATTTCCTCTGTCTGAGATCACCAGCGTCATGTGTCAGAGTGAACCGGGATGCCCTCGTCTGGCCATTCATGCTCCGCGACTTCCGCTGGGATCATCGCTGATCAAGCTACAATTCGCCGGTGACACCGACATGGAGGACTGGCTGTCGCATCTCACTTCTGTCTGCTGCCAGATAAACGAGGTCCACGGTCGCCCCTCAGACAATTGCGTGTGGATCACCACGAATCTCGGCGATGTGTTCGTGTTTGATCCATCCTCGCTGAAGGCGCTGCAGTTCAAGGAGGACAAGAGCTTGTACGTCCAGGAAATCGACGTGTCTGCCACTGAGACGCCCTATCACGTGCCACTCGCTAATGGGTAAGTTGCACGCTCTTCCATGAGAAATCTCTCGTATGCCTGTGAATTGGCTTTCTATGCAAAATTTGAGTTCTATCTCGATAACAGAGTGAGATAAGCACTTTAACGAGAGCTTTGGAAGAAAGAAAAAACAGCACAAATTACTTATTTTAGTTACAAAAAGCAAAGATGAAAAAGGGGATGTGAAACAAATGAACCAATCTGTTCAATTACTTAGAAAATTTCCACTTTGTTTTATAAGACTGCTTAGAAACAAGAATAGAAGTTTATTTCCGGTGTGTTCTTGAAAGTAAACAGCTCATAAAATGTGTGTGTCACACACATTAACTTTCAATATGACGCTGAAGCTGTAAAAATTATAAGTTATTGTTTCCCATTGAAATCAATTTATTTTTATTCTCATTAAGCAAACTTAATGTCTGTCAAATGGGATTTCCCAAAACTACACGCATACTTAAAGGCGGATGCCAAAAGTACAAAGAAGTAAAAAAAAAGATTTATTTAAATTCTTTTATTGTTCCTATTGTCACATGCTTTTCGTGTACAAATATTTATATGGCTATAGTTACAAGAGTCACTTCAGTCAGTTTGAAGAAGAGCTGTTGAGAGAATTATTGGAAGGAATGAGCTTGTGTTGTTTGATGTAGAACAGAATTGTGTGAATTGATGTGTTTGGAAAGAATGTGCAGAAAAGATTGTTCATTGGAAATGTTGTGTCTCCAAATCTCCTCAAGGGAATTTGATGCACGGACTTTGTGTGCAATACACACGTTTGCCGTCCGGTGGGCAAATGCACACGTTGCAATCATTCATGAAGCTTGTGTTGGGAACACAAACCATACCGCTGTCAAGCTCTAAAGCTATAAGGATCAACAAGAAGTGGCATCAGAAATAACATAATAATGTTTGTGTGTGGGGCAAAAAGTGTTTCTTTATTAGTTATGCAAACTATTTGGCGATATTATATTGCCTCTTCTGGCTAAATGGGAAGCAACAAAAAAAAAAGAAAGAAACATGGCAATTTATTGTTCAGCGCAATTTTAAGTCATTCTCGAGATGCATGATGGGGATTTGGTCATGCTGCCGATCATGCAATTAGTTACCAGTGTCTCGCCTCTTGCGATAAGGCGTAGCTTCTGCTGGCTTCGGTGGGCATTCCATTCGTGTGCAGAAAGCCGCGGTTCCGCTCGGGGAACACGTGCAAGTGTTGCAGCCATCTGGGGCAGTGAATGTGGATCCTGGGGTGCAATCTGGAAGGGATTTGGATTAAAGCATTATTGGGATGTTGAGGTGATTCAGGGTGGAAAATCGTAATTACTTTCACTTCGCTTCTTGCGATAAGGCATGGGAGCATTAGCCGGTATATTGACGCACGCCATCAGAGTGCAGAATGAGTTCTTGCCGTCCTCAGAACAGGTACACCAGTTGCAGCCATCAGAAGACTTGAAGCGCGATCCGGGCTGGCATGCTACAGGGAATAATTTAAAAAAAAAACAGAGATGTTTAGAAATGTTTGCATGAATGTTATATTTAAAAATAGAATGAAACAGTGATAAGATTTATGTACAAAATTGAAAGTGAGCATGGACTGAAAGATTATCTTCCCCAGAGAGAGAGAGAGGGTTATCGGAAGATTAGAATAAGATCACACACGTTTGACTTTGACGTGAGCAGAGATGCTGTTAACTTTATCAAAGTTCCCATCAAAGATCTCCTAACTCACGAGATATTTTAAGTGAATTTTTATGGACGCCGTAAGTTGTACGGAAAGCTTAACCTTCTTCCTACAGCTATCAAGAATTTTTATATAAACAGCAGTTTTCTTTCGCTATTGACTTTGGTTGGTTGCCAAAGAGTTCCACTTCTAGGTACTGCGATTCTTGTTATCGGAATTTATATATTTGACCTGAACAGGAAAAGTTCACGAGTTTGTGATAAATTTTTTGTAGGTTTGACACCATTTCTGAATATTCATGATAATTTGAAGCGTTGAACGCAAGTTTGTAGTGAGGGTAAATAGGATAATTGCAACTTACAATATGCTTGTGGATCATCGCCTTGAACATCTTGTGGTCTTGGGCAGAATTTCTTCGTGCAAAAGTAATGAGTTCCCTCTGCATTGCACACGCAAGTGTTGCAATCCTCTTCGTCTTTGAAAGAGCTGCCGGCAACGCAAGCTTTGCCTGAAGGATCATTCTTCAGGATTTGTCCTGCAGTAAATGAATCCAGTGAGTTACTAAATCCAGTGGGAAATAGTGAAATAAATTACCCATTGTGAGGGAGACTACACAAACCAGGAGTGAGAATACCACAAATTTCATCATTGTTGAACAAAAGAGTTTTCCGACGCGAATTACTGAACTTGACTCGCTGAAGAATCGATATGAACTGAGAGTTGAGCGAGTAAAGATCTTTTATATGTTGACAATGTTTAGCAAAACACAAGCAAAAGTGATTTCTTATCTCTCTAGTCAGTGTTATGTAAATAATACATCAATATTTGTCACTCAGTATGCATTCGTGGAATTAGCATTATAATATTTACCAAAAGCACACAAGTTGTAGTGATTTTGGTCCAGTGTCTTGAACAAAAAAACCACCGTATTTTCTTAGGAAATAAAGATCAAAAGTAATGACTTCGGAATTTCCATTTCATACTATTGACGTTGCTCGATTTCCCTATATTGAATATACAAAAGAACCACCATTTGTTATTGATAAGAGTGATTAAAGTGAAACATTTTCCACCACAATACTTATTATTGTAATCATTTATTTGTATTGCAGATTAACACCTGGAACGGAGTTGGAAATATTTGGATGTGTTTACGATGATGCAGATCACATAAGGTTTGATCTGCAGTGTCATCCGACAGTTAAAGTGCGCCACAAAGTGGAGTCACAGCGTCATGTGCTCATGCATCTCAATCCTCGCTTTAACGAGAAAGAGATCATTCTCAATTCAATGGAAAATTCTCAGTGGATGACCGAGATAAGGGACAGTCGAATGGTGTTCAGTCAAGGAGGGGAGTTCAAATTGACGATCAGGTGAGAAGCAAATGATAATAAGATAACGACAATATTGTATTCAACAATATATTGTGCTCTACTTTTACCACTTCTTGAGCTTATTTAACACTTTTCTCAAAACCTTTATAACCTTGATAAGAACTGACCTGCACTCACAGCACTTCTCTGACATGTTTTACTTTGCCAGATGCGAAAGTGCTGGCTATAGAATCTCCGTGGATGATCGTGAATATCTCTTGTTCAAGCATCGAGGAGCACCGGAAACGATTAGCTCGTTGTTTGTCAGCGGACGCATAAAACTCTTCCGCGTGGTTTACCAGAGTTCGTGGCCAATTGTGCCGCTGCGGGATGTGTTTTGGCGCCAAATGGGAGGCCACTTGAGGCGCGTGGAGTCGTGCTGTGCCGGCGTGACGTGGGGCATCAGCTACGATGGGACAGCGTGGGTGTACACGAGTGGATGGGGTGGGGCATTCCTCAAGGGTCTGGAGACCAGCACCAGTGGGATTCACACGATGTCCGACACGCACAAGTACTACATCTACGAGAATCAGCGATGGAATCCCCTGTCGGGCTACACATCGACGGGCTTGCCGACGGATCGACACATGTGGAGTGATGCCACGGGGAAACACAAGCGCAGCAAGGAGCACACCAAACTCCTGTCCATGCACTGGCAGTGGATCTCGGACTGGCTCGTGGATTTCTCCACGCCAGGTGGTGTGGATCGCGAGGGATGGCAATACGCGGTGGACTTTCCTGCGACTTATCACGGCAAGAAGCAGTTTACGGACTACGTGAGACGTCGTCGGTGGTTCAGGAAGTGTCGACTGACCAGTTCTGGGCCATGGCATGAAGTGGGCAATGCGAAGATTGTTGATATGGCACTGCAACCGGTGCCGGCGGCAGATGATGGCTTGTCCAGCATTGATCTGATGATTTGTGTGTGGGCTGTGGCGCCCAATGGCGATGCTCTGTTCCGTCATGGCGTCTCGCAGTCAAATCCCTCGGGAAGTTCGTGGGAACATGTGGCCAGCGAGGAGCCTCTGGTGTCCATCACGTGCACCACTGATGCAAAAGTCTGGGCGATTGGTCGCAATGGGTCGGCGTTCTATCGCTACGGCGTGACTCGAGAGAAGCCTTTGGGTGTGAATTGGCAAGTGGTTGAACCGCCCCAGGGAGCGAGTCTGAAGCAAATCAGAGCTGGAAGTGCAGGTGTTTGGGCGCTGGACTCCACGGGAAGATTGTCGGTGAGGCGCGAGATCAGCGTGACATTCCCAGAAGGCTCTCATTGGCAGTTGCTCAACAATGTGCCTAACGATCCGCCACACGGCGAGGGATCAAACGTAGGCTTTCGCAGCGTGTCCGTGGGTGAGCAAGTGTGGGCGGTGTCCAACACGGGCTTCATCTGCAAGCGATGCGGCATCACGCAGAACAATCCCGCGGGAACTGGATGGAATTTGGGCATTCTCGTGAGTCTAGCAATGATGTATGAAAAGGTTGTATGGAAATTGTTTATAATTCTTCTTTTTCTTCTGTGTTGCAGGGAAATTTCCAGCATGTCTCAGTCAATGGACTTATTTAACTGTGAAAAAATGCAGCTTGAAGTGTTTTAATTTTAATTGTATTGACGTATCTCAGTGTATTTTACCAAAAATTTCTTATTATTTAATTATACTTATTACTGATCAGTGGAAGTATAGTTTTGCTCAGAAATTGTGGCTTTTCCAATTGGTTTTGTGATGTATAATTAAAATGTTTGTTAAATAAAATATAAATAATAAATAATGGTGTATTAATTAAACACTTTTGATGCAGAAATCTTTGGTAAGAAGAATGATAAGTCCCAGATAATAGTGACTGTATTTCATCACAACAACATTGCCTTTTAGTTTACTTCTCGATTCACTTTAAACTCCTCCGCCACAGTTGCTGGAATCCGCTCCAAGGGCCAAGGATGTCAGCAGAGTCCTTCGTCCTGGATAGACTCCCAGATTTTCCCAATTTATCCACGACAATCGCGCTGTGAGATCTGCAATTCACCAATGATTTCCCATACAGAAAAGTCTTAAAACCACTGAGAAAGACGATTTCACTCACCACTGGTATTCCAATGAGCTCTCTCTGCCTTAATTTCCCCCCTGAGACACTTTTCCACGTAAGTCAGGGGATCATAATCCGCCTCCAGGACTTCCCTGAGGAGGGCGATGTAGGCAATGGCCAGTCTGAGAGTGTCTATCTTGCTGAGGCGTTTCTCATAGGGAAAAGTGGGCACGTGAATTCTCAGCTCGTCGAAAGCACTGTTAATGCTACTGCAGGGAATAAAGGAGGAGGAGGGATGCATTAGAAATAATAAGGATAAGAGATAGGAGTTAATTTACCCATTTGGAGCGGATCTCATCATTCTCTTCCTCTCCCGAATATTGGTTTGCTGGCGCTGAATCTTGTACGGAGGCGATCCATAAGGTGAACACGCGCCCTGAACACCACTTCCTCCTCCTTGAAGGTCTCCGTGATTCGATGACGATGTCGAAGGTTCCACGAGTCCACAATCTGAGCACAAGAAAGCCACTTTAGTCAAAATCTCTCATTTTATGTGCACTTTTCTATACCTGGATGATGCACTCCTCCGCCGAATTGTGACGGGTGATGCACATTTCCAGGATGTTTGAGTCCACTCGCACCTCCTGAAGCGTTTCCCAGTCTCAGACTGCTGGAGATGCTCGGAGCCTGACCAGCAGTCCCGCCAAAGACGCAGGACGGGAGGTCAGACATGAGATCATCGTCGAAAGCATGGAAATTGAGGGAGCAACTCAGTGGAGGCGACGAGGAAGAGTCAGGAATCTGATTCCTGACCAATTTATCCATCTCTTTGTGTCACAATTTTTGCACTCTTTAATCACAGAATAATCCCGTTGTTCACGAAATTGAGCACTAAATGAAACTGACGAGATGACGAGAGTTCATCCATTTTATATCCTCGCCTAGAGACGGAAGCTGCGAAAGGACATCGAGGATATGCTCGCAATCCCATTGGTGCATTTCTTATCGGAGGATGAGAAGCCACGCCTTCGCTGGGAAATTGACTCAATGGAATGGGAAAATCGTTAACGTTTTATGCAGAAGCATTTCATATCATTTTTTGTGTGACCATCGATTTGTTTTCTTTGGTGAAATTAAATTTTAAAGACAATTATCCTTACAAAAATCCTACCTGAAATAATCATTAAAATTGGCAAATCACTCAAAAATTGAGCGTTATATTTTACACTAAATTTGATAAGAATAAACTTCACTTTTAAATCCCTAAAATACAATAACAAATTCATTGAATAATTCTTATCAAATTAACAGCAACAATTCACTCTTGTTTGCACCCTTCCCACATGACAAGAAAACGCTTCCTTCCTCCGGGAAATTGCCCTCTAATTCGTTCTGGGCGAGGGGTGGAAAATTGGTGGGTTAGTGAGCTGAGATTAATGTGCAGCGTGTTCAGCTCTCTTTTGTGAGGTTGTTGAAGCAAACAATGCCACAAGAGAAGGAAATAGGGTTGAAGGGGAAGCGAATCATTAAAATTACCACAAATTTCGAAGTTCAGTCGAAGATTTATTTTATTTCCTAAAAATTCTCCTTCAAATTTCGTTTTTTTTTTACTGATTAATACTACAGAAAAAGATCTTTAAGGTGTTTAATGGGCTTAATAGTAAAAATGGATTTTACAAAATTAATTCTTGGCGTAGAATGTCCTGTTCGTCCCTAAAAATCCCATTTCACCCATAAGCAAGGCGGTATAGATGCTCCGAAACTCTCTTCCAAATCTATGCAGCCTGAAGGGGTTCGTCCTTTGAAGACGCGCCAGCACGTGAGTCCAGCGATGAATTTTGATGGGATTGGCGCGCTCTCGTACACAAAATCGCCCCCTCTTTTGTCCGCGCGGCCTGTGTCGTGACACGAGACCTCGGCACGTGGCCTGAAAACATCTGCTCGGGCCGCTTCACACGCCGAGATTTGTGGGATGTTGAAAGTCGTGAGAGCCATTGATTACCATTTGATTAATTGGCCGTGTAAATAAAATTAATTTCAAGTGTTGCCCTCGTGCGGTCTCCGGCCAGAGCCGCACACCCGCCGTCGCACAATTGAGCCGCACGCGGCCAGGAAAGCTATTATCGGCGCATCTTGAGTGCCGGCGACAACCCTCTGGATAAATATTTATTATTATGTTGTGTTTAGCGTGTCAATCACTTTTCCTGTCAGCGCGCACGGGAATCCTCTTCGGGGCGCCGCTAAACACCTGCATCCACGTGCCACCCGGAGAGATGCAGCATCTCTCCTGCCCTAGAATATGTCCCCGTGCGAGAACCCGAAACTGCCACCAGCATCCGTGTGCCAGTGGTTTTCCACTTCGGCACTGGGGCGATGCAGAGGAGGAATAAAAGGAGAGAATTTCGAGTGAGGGTGGCGCCGAATTCGGTCCTTCTGCGGGTGATTGTTTGGCTATCAAATGCAGACATTGGATTCTTGAGTTTCCCCTCCGAAAGAACTTTCCTCATGGGCAGATTTTCCACCCCAATGCTGATGTTGTATGATTTATAAAGACTCGAATTTACGCATCTCAGAAAACAGAGAATATAATAATTAGAATTTCAAGTTATAAATTAGAGAGAAATACAAAAAAAAAACTGGGATGGAAGTATTTTCCTTTATATTTTAAGCTCTATTTTATCATCTCTATTTATAGGTTTACAAAACTATATTAAAATCAAATGAATAGTGTGTTAAATCCAGCACTTGACAATGTCTCAGATGTCTCAAATCAATCTTATTAAATTCTGTTAGTCACTGATATAAATATCACTATCATCATCACTGTCGCTTTCGCCATCCACTTGAGCTTGCAGAAGTCTTATTTGTATCTTCAGCTTTTCCACTTCGGCCGCATGAGTTCTCTGCAGAGCCGCAATCTTGTGCTGATGGTCGAGATTCTGCAATTCCTTCTGCTTATCAAGCTGGTTCAGCGAGTCCTGGATGAGATTTTGCCGAATCATCACTTCTTTGTCCAACATTTCATCCAAAAGACACCGCATTTTCTCCCGAAGCTGATCATTTTCCTCCCTTAAAGCGCAGTTCTCATCCTGTTCAGTGCGCAGATCCATTTTCAATCTGAAAAGAATATTCGACATCAGTCAAACACTTGTAATTCTGATATGATAAATGCAATTCACCTGTAGTTCTCGTCCAGGAGCAACTCATGCACACCAGAAGCCTGCGCCATCAGGAAGGAGTATCGCGTCACTTTCACCTTCTTCTCCGGACTCTTCACGTGCACAATCTCCCTGGCGATGGCAGCAAAGTCCAGCACTCTCAGATTCTCCTCGTAGTACGTCTCGATGGGCCACAGATTCACGATGAGCACCAAATTCTCCTTGCCCATGAGTGCCGTCTGAATGAGGAGTGTGAGTTTCGACTCGCGAAATGGCACAATATTCATCAGCTTCCTCTGTCGATTCTCGTGCAGCACATTGAGACACTTTCCCAGAAACATCAGCGACTTGTTGATATTCTGCGCCTCACGGAGGCGATCGCCCATATTTTCAGTCTTCTTGAGACGCTCCGAACCCGCCAAATCGCCGAAGCAGTACGAAATGCAGCTGTAGTCCTTCTGGGAATTCTTAATCACGAGCACATTGAAGAGTGTGTGTGAGCGACTCGACGAAGTGTTGATCATGGTTGAAGCGTAATTCACGCGATTGAGGCCATAATTGAGGATCTTCACCACATCTTCGCTGCTCTTGGCATAAATGTGCGTGAGATTCTTGGCATAGGGATGTCCTTTGTTGGAAATCACCTTCAGTTCTGGCCTCTTCATGCCCCTCTCCAGTGGCGCTGTGTCGAGCAGGTCGTACACTTTCTCGTTGTAAATCTCCAGAAAGGACACCCAGATGAACACATAGTGATCATTGATGTCCTCAGTCGAGAAGCCCTCTTCGCGCTCTATCACTTCCTGCATCGCACTGTAGTCATAAATGCCGCTCTGCGAGTCTGGCGACTCTAGGATCTTCCGGCGCAAGATCATTTCCTGCACAGCTTTGTCGTCATCGAGCAGCTCGAGTAATCCATTTTGGTACTTAATTGTGGGCTGCGGAGCCAGTTTGTCCTCGTACTTTGTGAATATTTGCTGGACCGCTCTGGGAACAATGCCTGGACTATTCTTGTCCCCTGGAAGACAGAGATGGAGATAAATCAGTCACGTTCTCTGATGCACAAACACATCAGCAAGTCTCACCCAAGAGTGTGTAGGTTTTGCCCGATCCGGAAGTCCCGTAAGTGACAAACACTGCGTGCTCCTCATTGTCAATGTGGTTCTTTATCGCCGAGTCGTACACGTCCCGTTGGGTGTTGAGCGGCTCGAAGACTCTCGTGAATGAGTAGAGCTGAGTGCAGGGCGTCTTGCTGCGTCCGGCAGCGTCGCTCTTCGGACACACCACCTTCAGGCCCGAGAGACTCGACTTGTACACATTGTGGCGCTCTTCGCCGTCAGCCAGAGCCCTCAGTCGCAGATATACCTCAGCCCTGCCCTCGGGAAGAGCACAATTCTCGGAGGATTCAACGGCGTCTCTCGTGTAGGACGAGTCCAAACTGCTCTCCTCGTCCACCTCCTTGAGCTGCGGCTCCAGACGAACTTGGCGCGAAGGCAGGGGCCGATTGTACACATCAATGCTGGGATCACGATGCTCCACAAAGGAGTAAGACATTTTTACAGACAAACAATAGAATTTTCACAGAAAAACCCGCACTCGAAATTGCAAACCGTCCGACTGACAAAATGCGTCTGCCGTCTGAAGTTGACTGTAAACCAAAGAGATAAAAATTCTCAGCTCCTGCGAAGTCGACAGACTTTTCTTACCTTACCGTGGACATGTCGATTAAGCAATTCGCTCAATAATTTATTTCAGTGTAAGATAACGTCAGCAAATGCTAGAGAGCAAATTTTTATACCCATTTGTGTCTGAAATATACAACAAACGTGGTGAAATAGGAACTCTGTGAAGAAAAATCAGAGAAAAACATGTCTGCAGATGTCCGATAGCATTCCGACGATTGATGTTTTCTTTAGCGGGAAGCTTTCCGCCATCTCGCGGAATTTGATAGAATCTCCCGGTGTCACATAAAGCGAGGAAAAATCCAAAACAGTGGCTAAAAAAGTGAGAATCCTGTGGAAAATACCAACCAGGGCGAGTCTAAAGAGGTGCTGAAGAAAAATGGGTGATTTGGAGAAGGATATCTTCGATCGAATCTCGAAAAATGAGGTGACAGAGCTGAAAACGCTGCTGCTGGAGCTGAAGTCTGGAGTGGATTTTGTTGATGAGAACGGAATGACACCTCTTCAGCACGCGTGCTACAAGGGCAACAAGGAAATCGTGCAGATGTTCCTGGACAGGGTACTGGGGATGCGATTGGGGTGGTGAGACGCGTTGCTCAAGAGTTCCCTCCATTTCAGGGCGCCGACGTGAATGCCAGCAAGCACGAGTACAGCTACACAGCTCTCCACTTTGCCGCCCTGTCCGGAAACGTGGATGTGTGCCTGCTCCTCCTGCACGCGGGCGCCAATGCCAACGACACGAACTCCGTGGGCCGGACGGCGGCGCAGATGGCGTCGTTCGTGAGCAATCACCGCGTGGTGGCCGTGATCAACAACTACGTGCCAAAGCAGGAGATTGAGTACTACACGGTGATCCAGGGCCAGCAGACGGAACCCTACCTGCCCGCCGTGCTGCTCGACTCCTTCCACAAGTTTGTCATCCAGGTGAACATGCACCCGGTGAAGATCGCCCTCACACTGCAGCGCCTCGGCGGCTTCGCCGACAATCTCAAGACCATTCGCAAGGTGCTGGGCTTGATGTCAGAGCACGAGGTGCAGCGCAAGAGTGACATCAACGAGGCGATGTCGTTCAAGTTCCACTACTTGGGCTACGTGGTGAGTGAGATTATCAAGTGCCGGGAGTACTTCCAGGCGCGCAAGGAGGCCGGCAGCGAGATGAAGAACGACTTTGTGGAGTTGTTCGCGAAGCGGGTGCTCAAGGAGGGCAAGCATGGCATTCTGGACTACCTGGAGTGGATGATCAGGGAGTGCGTGAGGGACTTTCCCTTCCGTGAGTTCACAATCTTCAAGCAAATCGTGAGTCAACTGGCCAACAAGGACAATGAAGGAGCCGCTCTGGATGTTATCAAGTGGGCCATTTACGGTCAGAGAGGATTTCAGGTGAGAATATTGAGTTAAGTTCATAATCCACCGCAGGCTAAACCTTTCTGTGCATTGCTCTTGCAGGACACAGTGACGTATTGCAGTTCGTGTGGTGAGGAGAAGCCAGACAAGAAGTGTTCTAAGTGCAAAGAGGTGCAATATTGTGATAGGGAATGCCAGCGACTTCATTGGTTCATGCACAAGAAGACATGCACTCGCCCAGAGGCACTGGCGACCAATGCGTCCGGCGGCGGACCGTCGAAAAAGGAAGTCGATGTGGAGCACATCAGTAGTGAATTGCAGAATTTAATGACCAACTAATAAGTGAATAAGGATACCAAGATTTTTTTCTGTGTGTGTGAGTATTTTTGACCTTTCCGTTGTAATGCAGTTGTCCATATCATGGATCATCAAGTGGACGGCTGGCTAAATATTCTACCTGGCGTTCTGTCTTTACCGGCAGAGGAAAGAGAGTAGACAAAACACAAAAAAAAATTGTAATCATATAAATAATTATTTTTGAACCCTGAAAAAAGAGAACAGAATTGTACAGAAGGTTTAATCTTCGCAGAATAAAGTTCTTAAGGGTTGACAAAAAGGGACTTTGTCTATCACACTCACAATGCTGTGTGAGCTCAGGAGGAATTCGAGAGGGAGAGAAGAAGAAGAGGCAGAAAAACTCCTTGAATTATGGGATTCACTTTGGCCATTTTATCGGAGAAGAGCGAGGCCCCCGGTGTGGCAGAAAAGATACGGCGTGGAAGTGAGGGAGTCTCCTCTTGAGTCACATCTCAAAATCACTTTGCTTCACAGCTTCAACAGGCACCGACAGAAAGCTTTGGAGTTTTATAAATTGAAAACATTAGGCGTGGAGATAAGACAACATTTCTGCTGCCTCGAATGGGGGCCTATAAAATGTTATTAATAAGGTGCATGAAGTTTTTTTTCTCTGCCGCCTCTCTCTCTTCAGTCTCTCTCCCTTGTCTCTGCTTCCATCCCATCCCATGCCATCCAGTGCTCCTCGCGCTGCGGTCTATAACGAAAAAACGGTAGCCCAAGAGCAACTGATAAGAGACCCATTTACGGTGCGACAATGTCATCAAAGTGTCGGCAAGAGGCATCTCACAAGAGAATCGTGAGAGGCGATCTGTGTGAGTGGTCTCCATTCAATTTGGTAGAATGTAATAAATGTTTTAACGCGCCACAACAAACGGCTTCCCATACAATGGCTTCGGAGGCTCATCTGAATTAATCATCTCGCGCGGCGCACCTCAAAATTCCAAAAGAGATCAAAACCCAGAGAGAACTTCCTTTTCTCACTCGCCGGTTCAAGTGTCAATTATTGCTCAATTCACTCCTAAGAGACTGAAGAGGCTGAACTTGTTCCGGAGCACCTTTCACACATCACAAGAAGCCGGGACTGTGACGATCGTAAAGATTTCCCGCACTCGTAATGATGGTTCTTACACGTTCCCACAATGAGTGTCCATTTCATCAGATAAAACTCCGTCAAAGGCATTAGTTTGTACCTAAGGATGAATAGATTAGTTGACATTATTGGATTTATAACTTCATTCATGAGATTCAACTTTTCACGGGAACCAAAATTCTAGTCAGAATCGAGTGTATTGAATAAAGTTCTACAACCTTTCAAAGTGTTCCTTTATGAGTGGATGCATAATTGCACATTTCTCTGCTTAAATCGATTTCACAACACGCTATGTTAAGGAATCTCACGTCATTCGCATTAGTTATGCTCAATTGCAATGCGCCACATAATTAATCTCGTCTGTTCTTTGAACAGAATATCGATAATGCTCTAATCATTCAATAAATTTAAAGTAAAACATCAAAATATCAGTCAAATTCTTAATATTTGATATAGAAAAAGAAGGTAAAAATGATAAGGATTAGAAAATTCTCAATATTCCCTCAATAAGGACATAATTCACAAAGCCCAAATCAGTTTGTCTCAAGCTTTGTATGAGAAATAAAATATTTTAGTGAGCTTCAGAAAGCTGCAAAGAATGTTTAATGCCAGCAAGGACTTGTTGAGAAGTACATTATAATAAAAAGACAGAATGAATCAGAAATGTCTTAAGTTTATGTGGTTTCTGCAATCATTTTTGATAAACGTTTTCCGATAGCAAGTCAATTTCTGAGAATAGATTTCCATAAGACAAACAGACAGCTTTAGAGCCTCTTTTTTTCGCTCGCTCATGCCGCCATGTCACAGTTGGTGGAGTAAAATTTACTGATCACCTGCCTCAAATTGAGTCACATTTGGTGATGATCACCGAAGTTTTGGGGAGGTCTCGCGACTGTGGCGGATGTGCTTTCCATATAAACAGCGATTCGGACCGCACGCGAGATGAGGAGAAAAATGTGTTAAGCGGAATATTGATAATAGATGGATTATAAAGTGGATTTTGCTCTCATTCACAGAATCATTTCCACGCAGAGACTTTTTTCTCACAGGCCTTTTCCAGCAACACTTTCTGGGATGAACTCGACCGCAACTGTGACGCTCTCGGTGTTGCGCTTTTTTGTCGAGATCATCGCGCGGGATCATCTACACAGCAAGACGTGAGATCGACGGGACAAGAGGGAGCTTAAAGATGATGGTGGCTGCTGATGGTCTCGGTTTTTATGAAGCTATAAAAGTTTCACAATTTTATGATATTCCCCTTGTCTCCACGTCTCCTCTTTTTTTTCTTTTGCTTAATTTGAAACACTCAAATCCCACCCAGCAATCTCCCGGGAAAAGCAGCATCCGACTGTGAGTATTCGCCACACGATAAATTAACAGGGAATTTGAGGATTTCAAGGAAAGTTAATTTGCAGCGTTCTTATTGCTTCATTTTGTGATGTGACGATTAAGAGGGAAATACAGCGATTACTTTTCACCCTGTTCGCAGACACCCAACATCTTCGGCACGGATTCTGAGCCAAAACTGTGAAGAAACTGACGCTTGACTTCAAGTGTGTGATTTCGCATGCGAGAAGGACTTTGTGCCCTTCAGGATCATGCTGAAGCAAGGGCAGAAATGTGTTCTAATGAAGCCAGTGAGGAGAATTGGCTCCGAGCAAAGTGACGGAGGAGATTATTCTTATCCCTAATACAAATCGATGCTTGAATGAGACTCACTTGCTGTGCTGTTTATGTAACATTTATCTAAATTCCTCATCATTGTATTTGGTCTTGATGTTTTCTTCTCTTCTATACCTAAGAAAATACGTTCCAGAGGAAGCGAAAAGGAAGAGGTTCCAGATTATTTCTCTTCTGGTCTGGGCCGGGGAGAAAAAATCACTAAAATTAATGACTTAATTGCTATATTTATGCAGATCTTGTTAAGATCTCTCGCTTTTCCTCCATATTATTCTAAGACTATGATTTATGTGTGTTTGTGCACGAGACGCTGGCCAAATGATGGACGAGGAAGAGGGAGAGAGAGAGAGAGAGCTTGTCAGAAGGAATAACACACAGTGAGATTATGCTCGAGAAATCACCATAGTTTAAGTATCTGAGTTGGTGGGTGGTATTTTTGGGATTCTTCTTGAAATTTTTATTGTTTTTCAATGTAAAACTCTTTCGCTCTTGACCACTTTTTTTCTCCATTTCCCTCCTTCTTCTTGGACGCTCCGAAGCACGCCCGTTTTTTCCACGAGCACACAAGTTTGTGATATTTTTGGTGAGCCAGTGATATCCTCTGTTATTTTTTCCCAATATATATATGTAGACGATTTTATTTGGGAAGGAACGAAGAGAGAGAGATCGAATGAGAAGCTGAGACGAAGAGAGTATCGAAATTTGTAAAATAAACATCTCTGAGAGATAAAAATGGTGATTTCTTCTGTCAATGTTGAATGAAAAGGCAAAAAAGACAACACACTTTTATTAACATAAACGTTCTCAAAGGAGATTGCAATCTTCAACTAGTTTGTGGATGAGAGTGAATAGTGGAATGAGGAGGAGAGAGATAAAATTCCCGCCCTGGAAGCACACCAGCAACGTGTTTTCTCCGTGGCAATTTGTTATCATTTTGTACAAATTATTTGAAATCTTCTGCCATGAGTTGGTTGGCTATATGGAAAAAGGCGGCTGGGAATCATTAAAATAATTTACCGCTCAAATTGAACAAATGAGAAAGAATGATCAGGAGCGGAACTAATTCGTCTTTTTGTGAGGTCTCACCGCATTCCGTCCTCTGGGGCGCCTTATCTCACATGACGACAGCTTCTGCACCCTTTTTCTCTCTGGCGCTCGCCTCCAAAAATTTTCAGTCATGCCCCATAAAGCGGCGATGATAAGTGTGGTCTCGGGGCAGATATCGGGATGAGGCCGCGCTGGCGTACATCACAAGGCGCCTGTCTACGTTCACCGGTGACGCGAATCCGATAGCTCAGGCTGCAGATTGCAGCCTTCCTTCGGGCGGCTCGAGGGAAAATACCCGAGATATTGACTCATGTGAGAATATCACTCATTAGCTCTTGTGCAAATGAAATTTGCTTACAAGTTTGCCGACTTGATTCCGTCCATTCGATCGGCTCAATCAGGAGAAGCTCATGTTGTAAATGGCGAGGAATCATGAATGAGAATGAGAGGTTTTTAAGCATTCATAGAAGATATGCGTAAAAGAATTTTTGCACTCTATAAAATTACTTTTAAATATCCAAGTGTAGATTAGGAATGTAGCCTTAAATGACTTCAATCTCCGGAGGATTAGAAGTTGCAGATTTTTGCAAAATTATGCTTACCAGAAAAATAGGGAGAATATTCCCATTGAGTTGGGAAAAACGAGACACTCCGCGGGAAGCGCTAAAAGCACTTCTTATTTATTAACTGTACAGCCATTATCCCTAATGAGACACCGTCACCTGAAAATTAATAACATCAGAGGTGTGATGACTTAAAGTGAACACATCCATCTTGGTGGGAACCACTGAAATGACACTCGAGCGATAACACGAAACTCTGGAGATTATCACACGCTTGGAGCGAGAGTGGGGCGATGTAAATGGTAGCTTTTAATTCACATTGCCTCCCCCTTCGATATCACCTGAAGAGAGCCGCTCTCGGTGCCACCCATATCAGTGTGGCCACTTTATAATCCAACGCACGACTGCTGAAAGCCGCCAAAGTGAGTGATTTACCTTATTCCCTCTCTCACATATAATTGCCAGTGTGGAAGAACTGGAGTTGCCGTCTAATGATTTCTGTTGATGGGAGGTAGAGACACTTAAAATGCTAAATTAGAAAGTGTCATGTTGGAAAATTTAATATTATGCAATAAAAGTTCTTTCTCTCTCTCTTAATGAGTAAATGCAGAGTTAATGAACATGAGAAGACTCTCAACATGGTAATTTGCACCTGCTGCTCATTCTCAAACTTATCACATCACAGAGCTCTTCGTCATTGCTCGCAATTGCTTACTATATATATTGTATGTTATGTTACCCATAGCCACACACGTAGCATTGCATTTATTGTGCTAATGCTGTCAGAGAAGATCCAAAATATATGAGAATTTGGGGGCATAAAAAAAAAAGAGTCATTCAGAAGAAAAATCCACGCGCGACGACATGTG